GCGCGCCCCGGGGCGTCGCGGCCGCGTTGGAGGCCCGGGCCGCGCGGCGCGCGCTCGCGTTCTGGGCCGCGCGCGCGGAGGCGTCCGCCGCCGCGACGCTCCGCCGCTGCGTCCGCCGCCGGCGCCGGCGCCACGCCGCCGCCGTGCCGCTCCAGGCGCGCGCGCGGACGCGGAGCGCGGAGTCGCGCGCGGCCGCGCTCCGCGCCGCGGCGGCGCGCCGCGCGGCCGCGGCCGGGGTTTTGGCGCTGGCCCTCCAGGCGCGGGCCCGGGGCCGCCGCGCGCGCGCCCGGCGCCGGCTCTGCCGCGCCGTCGCGTCGGGCATGCGCCACTGCCTCAACCGGCGGCGGCTCGTCGCGCGGCTCGGCGCAGTGGCGACGCTGGCCCACGCGTCGCCGGCCATCGCCTACCACCCGCGCGTGCGCATCGGCGGCGACGCCCAGGACGTCTTCCGCGGCGTCTTCTCGCCGCGCCTCGCCGCGCCGCCGAAGAAGGGGTCCGCGGCGTCGCTGCTGCGCGGCGCGGCGCGGTGGGCGTCGGGCTCGCTCGGCGGCTCCTGGGCCGCGCCGGACCTCGAGGGGATGGACGCCAGCGCGTCCGTGCCCTGCGCCGTGAAGAAGGTGCGGTTGAGCGAGCTCGGCGCGGGCCTCAACGAGCTCAAGTGTTTGTTGAAGTTGAAGCGGCACGCGAACGTCGTCCGCGTCTACGGCCAGGCCGAGGACGGCGACGAGTACTTGTACCTCGCCCTGGAGCTCTGCCACGGCACGCTCGACGGGTTGGCGAACATGGTGCGGCGGCGGAGCAGGGGGTGGCCCGCGCTCCGCGCGGACCTCGAAAAGCTCGACCTCGTCGACGTCTGCAAGCAGATGGCCGGCGGGCTCACGCACCTCCACGAGAACGGCATCATCCACCGCGACATCAAGCCGAGCAACATCTTGTGGGTCGCCCGGTCCGGCGCGCCCGTGATCAAGCTCGCGGATTTCGGCATCTCCAAGGCGCTCGACGCGCGGAACGGCCGCGACGAGTACACGGTCACGTCGAGCCACGCGGGCACCGTGGGCTACATGGCCCGCGAGTTCGTCAAATTGAAGTGGGACTCGGGCGTGCGGAAATCCGCGAAGATGACCGAGGCCCAGTACAAGGCCGGCGACGTCTTCGCGCTCGGCTGCTGCATGTACCACGTCATCACCGGCGGCCGCCACCCGTTCGGCGACTACCCCTACATGCTCGAGATGGCCATCATGCAGGGCGCGCCGCCGAGCCTCGACGCCATCCCGAAGATGGCCGGGCCCCACCGGGAGGTCCTCGCGAGGGCGCTCATCGAGGCCATGCTCGACCACGACGCGAGGAACCGGCCCGCGGCGCGCACGGTCCAGAACCACGCGTTCTTCTTCCAGCTGCCGGGGGACTAGGCGGCTTAACCGCGGCGACGCTCTCGGGGGTTGGATTCTACGCGCGCGGGTTTTGGAGACGTCGCCGGCGATCAGCTGCCCCACATGGGCGAGAGGAGTACGCGACCATCGTCCCGACGACATACTGAAACGCCCTCGAAGAATGTATGATCCGACGGACCTTCACGGGTGTCCTTCTCGTTCTTTGCGATGGCATCGAACAGGTCGCCAACGGTAAACCACTTTCCGTTCGGCGCCGCGAACGGAGTGGCCCCGTACCAGCCGCTGATCATAATCTCGGGCTTGACCAGCGCGATGAGATGTTTGAGGTCATCCTCTTGCGGTCCGCCGATGGGCTGATGGGTGACATCATACACCGGATAGTCGTACCCGTCGATGGAGCACTCATCCACGACCCAGTACACGGGCGGGCCCGTCGATCCATACGAAGCGTCCGAGTCGTAGCCCTCGTCTCGCTCCCAATGCCCGCGATAGAACATCGATGCGCTTATCGAATCGAACGTTTTCATGGAGAGACGCCCCGGAACCTTGTCTCCAGCCGCCCGAAAGGTTGACGACGTCGATCGGGCGCCGAAGACCGTGGGTGCCTCCAGGAAATCGAGTACTTGCGTCATCACGTCCAAGCTGTCCAACACGAGCGACGCACGCTCGGAGGCCATCTTGCGGGCGCGACGGCGGGACGAGTTCGCGAAACCGTTGCCACAAGAGGCACAGTCAAATAAATTTTTGCTAGGGCCTGCGGCGAACGTGCTGCCAGCAGCGCCTCCGCCGACTCAGCCGTGGTCGTCGAGGCCCAAATCGCCGAGTGCCCTTGAGAGGCAGAGGCCGCCCCCCGGACGTCTAGTTAGCCGCGCCGCGAATCCAGGTTACGCCGCCGCCGACCGCGCGGCCCCGAGCAATTCCGCGAGCGCCGCGGCCGCGTCGCCGTCGGATTTCACGGTCGCGTCGGCGTCGTCGTTTTCGAGGTCCAACGCCATGCGGCCGCCGAGGTCCGCGCCGACGAGGGTCCCGCGCGCCTCGAGGCGCCGCGACCGCTCGGCCTCGTCGCAGGCGACGCGCGCGAAGACGAGGCTCGGGCACGCGGCGGCGACGGCGCGGCGGTGCGCGCGCTTGAACATGGCCTGGGCGACGACGACGGGCCGCGCGCCGCGCTCCTCGGCGAGCGCGGCGCCGACCCGCTCCGCGACGACCGCGCTGAAGCGCTCGCGCTGCGCCGGCGTGAAGGACTCGCCGCGCTCGAGCGACGCGCGCATGTCGGCCGTGAGCCACGCGTCGCCCTCCTCGAAGCGGTAGCCGAAGTCGTCGCGGAGCTTGGCGCCGAGGTAGGACTTGCCCGCGCCGGGCGCGCCGTAGAGGAAGAGGTCCGGCCGCTTCGGGGCCGCGGCGGCCGCGGCGCGCGCGGCCTCGGCCTCGGCGGCCGCGGCGGCCTCGGCCTCGGCGGCCAGGCGCTCGGCCGCGGCCTGCGCGGCCTTGGCCTCGGCTTCCAGGCGCTCGACCTGGGCCTTGGCGGCCGCCAAGGCCTGCTGCTGCTGCGTCCGCTCGGCCGCGGCCTTGGCCGCGGCCGCCTTGGCCTCCGCTTCGATCCGTTCGGCCTCGGCTTTGGCGGCCGCCTCGGCCTCGACGCGCGCGGCCTCGAGGCGCGCGGCCTCGACGCGCGCGGCTTCGAGGCGCGCGGCCTCGAGGCGCTCGGCCTCGATGCGCGCGGCCGCGAGGCGCGCGGCCTCGACTCGCTCGGCCTCGATGCGCGCGGCCGCGCGCTCGGCCTCGAGGCGCTCGGCTTCGAGGCGCGCGGCCTCGAGGCGCTCGGCTTCGAGGCGCTCGGCCTCGAGGCGCGCGGCCTCGAGGCGCGCGGCCTCGCGGCGCTCGGCTGCGAGGCGCGCGGCTTCGCGGCGCTCGGCTTCGAGGCGCTCGGCCTCGGCTTTGGCCTTCGCGGCGGCCGTCCTGCTGTCAGCGTAGATCGCGTCGTAGCGCTTCCACCACGCCGGTGATCCGGGCGACGTCTCCGACGTTTCCTCCTCCCTCGCGACGCTTTCCTGGACCATTGCTCCGCGGACCCTCGGCCAATCGTGTTTCGCCACAGAGGGTGCAACACTCATCACCATTGCCAAAGAGCAGCCCCGATTCTCCGGAGGTGGCCTCTCTCATACGATGGCCGAGCCCATGCGCGTGCTGCTGGTGGCCGACGAGCCCTTGGACGCGAAGGCGGACGGCTCGAAGCAGCGGTCGCTCATGGCGACGCTGCCCGCGGGTAAGGCCGTGAAGGCGAGCTCGCTGCTGAAAAAGTTCGCCGGCCACTTCGGCGTCGACCTCGCGGCGCTGGAGCTGCGCACGTCGCGGGGCGACGCGCTCGGCGCGCGCGACGTCGTGGAGCGCGACGGCGACGCGGCGCAGACCGTGCTCACCGTGGCGCGGCGCGCCGACGCGCCGCCCGTCGCGGCCGCCGCGCCCGCGGCCCCGGCGGCCCCGGCGGCCCCGGCGCCCGCGGCGCCCGCGGCGCCCGCGGCTCCCGCTCCGCCGCCGCCGCCGGAGGCACCGCCCGCGGCCCCCGCGCCCGCGGGCGCCGCCGCGCCGACGAAGAAGAAGAAGAAGCGGGAGAAGCCCTGCAAGGCCGCGCTCCAGCTCCACGGCGCGGAGAACGGCCGTCCCTGCAAGTGCAGCAGCGACGCGTGCTGGGTCACGAAGCGCAAGGGCGGCGGCTTCCGCATCGTGCTCAAGGGCGGCGGCGGCGTCACGGCGGCGTCGCGCGCCAGGGTCGAGGAGCAGCGGCGGCGCGCGGCCGAGCGCCGCGCGGGCGTCCTCGTCTCCGTCATCTGCCCGACGACGCCCGAGCGCGCGCCGCTCCACCCGCTGCTCTACGCCTGCTTCCTCGCCCAGACCCACGCGCGGCGCGAGCTCGTCGTCTACGACACGGGCGCCGAGGGCACGCCGAGCCCCTACTGGCTCGACGTCTGCGCGAAGGACGGCCGCGTGACGTACCACCACGACGCCGCGTTCCACATGAACGTGGGCCACAAGCGCAACGTGCTCGTCGACCGCTGCAAAGGCGACGTCGTCGCCATGTTCGACGACGACAACTTCTACGCGCCGACGTTTATCGAGATCATGCTCCGCCACCTCCTCGACAGCGGCGCGCGCATGGTGAGCCTCTCCGGGTTCTACGGCTACGCCACGGACGAGGCCATGGGTCACGCCGTCTGCACGCAGTGGGAGTACTACCGCAACGTCGGCGGCCGCGGCGAGACGCAGCTCTTCTGGAAGTCGGCCGACGACGTCGAGGGGCAGAAGCCGGGCGCCGCGCGGGTCCCGCTCTTCGACGCGGAGGTCACGTGGGGCGAGGAGGGCGTGCTCATCTCCGAGAGCCGGCCCCTGGGCTGGCACCGCGTCTGGGACGACGTGGGCATCTTCCTCCACGTCTACCACGGCCACAATTTTACGTTGGTCCACCCCAGGGCAGCACAAGAGAGCGAAATTCCCAACTTCAAAGGCTCATATCTCGGCCGTTTTCCACTCGTTTTGGCTGATTTTTGGACGAGCGATCATCTCTCGGAACGGCCTCGAAGCGTGGATGTGTTTTTCGTTACGCGCGCGCGCGGAACACTCACGTTGAAGCGACGTTGAATCACTCTCGTGCTGCCCAGGTCCACCCGGACGAGTTCAAGGAGGAGATCCGCGACGCCGACGGCGTCGCCTGGAAGCGCGCGGAGGCCGGCGTCGAGTGGCGGCCCGCGTCGCGCAAAGAGATCCCGAACCTCGAGCTCCTGCGCCTCTTCGACGACTGGCACGGCGCGCGGCGCGTCTTCGACGGCGTCTTCGCGACGCCCGTCGACCCCGAGGGCGAGCAGGCGCCCGACGACTGGTACGACCTGCCGGACACGATGAAGGCGAACATCCACGTGCGGCCCCGGCGCGTCCGGCCCAGCGACGTCGCCGACCTCGAGAGCGACGGCGAGGACGAGTACGAGGCCATCGCCGCGCGCGAGAAGCGCGCGGCCGAGGCGTCCGAGGCCGCGCGGAAGAAGCGCGAGGGGACGGCGTAAGCCTATGTAGAGCCAGTCGAGCGGCACCCCCGAGCGTCGCACCGACCGCGCGACGCGACGCCCCGGCACGCAGAGACGACGAGCACGGCGCTTACATCATCTTGTTCGGGTCGAAGCTGTCGGACTTGGCGAGGGTGCCCGGCCGGAACCACTCGGCGAGGTCGAAGACGTCCTTCCAGGTGAGCTTCTCCGCGGCCGTGTCCGCCGCGGACGCGCCCGCCTGGGAGACGCCGTCGGCGGGGCACGCGTTGTCGATGGCGCAGAAGCCCTTGGGGTCGAGGCCGTTCTTCGCCGCGAGGGCGTCGACGGTGTTGCGCAGCTTCGCGTTGCCGGCGTAGTCGCCCTTGCCGCGCGTGTAGAGGAAGCCGCCCTCGTAGGGGCCCTGCTGCGTGTCGCCCTTGTACGCGACGAGCACGAAGGGGTTCGAGTTGTCGCCCTTGCCCAGGACGTACCACTGCTCGTGGAAGGTGAGGCCGTACATCTTGCCCTCGACGGTGAAGGACGCCTTGCCCTGGGGCCCGCGCTCCGCGACCATGCTCTCGGTGAACGCGTTCTGCCAGTAGCCGCCGCCGGGCTTGGGCACGCGGAACTCGATCTCGTTCTTCACGGCCGGCGCGTTCGCGGCTTTGAACGTGTTCGCCTGGCAGGGGAAGCAGTCGTACTTGGGGCTGTAGCCCAACACCTTCCACCACGTGCCCTCGAGGTCCTTGGCGTCGAAGCTGGCGAGGCGCGCGGGCGCGTCCGCGTAGAAGGCGCTCGTGTCCTGCTTGACGCCCGTCGTCACGCAGCTCTTCTCCTCGAGCGTGCAGCTCAGCCAGCCGTTGAGCTTCTCCGAGCCGAAGCGGCTGAAGCACCGCGTCGCGCACTCCTGCTCGCCCCGGCAGTTGCCGAGGCACGTCACGCCCTTGAGGCAGCTCGGGTTCGTGAAGCAGGCCTTGGACTGGTCGCCGCACTCGTCGAAGAAGCACTGGGGCCGCGCCTCCATCGTGCCGCCCTGCGCCGCGAACTCCTCGAAGCCCGCCGACGACTCCTCCGCCATCGACGGCGCGGACAGCGACGTCGTCGCGAGGGCGAGGGCCAGCAGCTGCTGCGCGCCGCGCTTGAGGAGCGGCTTCGTTTGCGGCGCGCTCGGCGTCTTGAGCGCGCATGCCACGGCGATCGCGGCCAGCAGCAGTCGCCGCATTGATGCAGAGCCCATCTTGCTCGATCCTGGCGCGCTCTTCAATCGCTTGTTCAAGTTGCCTCAGCACCGCCGAACCGTCCGGCACTGGACGCCGTCGCAGCCGCATGCTTCTCGTCGTCGTCGTCGTCTCTCTGGACCCGTAGCGTGCGTCGAAGCAAGCGCGCGCGCGCTTCCTGGAGGAGCGCGTCTCGACTGCCATCGCGCGCGCACCGACGCCACCGAATTCCGCCCGCGCGCCGTCACGCCGCGGCCCAGTCTGGAGCGCTCGTCTTAAAAACTTCCGGGCGCCCCGGGTCTCCTATACATGCGGGCTCGGCGCGCGGCGGCGGCTGCGGCGCGGCTTTAATCCTCGTCCTCGTCGTCGTCGTCTTCGTCGTCGTCGTCGTCGGCGCTCTGCGGGGGGAGGCGCGGTCGGCGGGGTGCGGGCGCGCGGGTGCGGGACGCGGCGGCGCACCCATTTGCTCCAGTCCACCTGGTCGGCGAGTTTCTGCGCGGGGGGTTCGAGCGTCGCGGCCGGCCGCGCGCGCGTCCGGGGGAACCGCGCGGGCCGGAGCGGGGGGGCGGGCGGCGACGTACGCCCTCGTTGGCGCGGCTCCACATGGCCTCCGTGCCCATGCCGTAGACGACCTCGAAGATCACGGCGCCCGCGACGACGAACGTAACTTGCGACATGTTCGACTTGAGCGCCGACTTGTAGAACGCGTCGTAGGACATGGGCCGGCGCGCGGGCGCGGCGAGCGGCCGGGCGGCCACGCGGGCCGTCGTGCGGAGGGCCTGGCGCGCTGCGAACATGGCGACGGATCGGCGGCGGCTGCTCTCTCTTCTCGATTCTAGGCGCGGCACCCTCTCGCGCGGCACGATCATCGCGAGCAGTTATCGTGCCGCTTCGCCGGCGCGCCCCGCGCAGAGGGGGCCGACCACCAGGCATACACCAGCCACGGCATACACCAGCATAGCAGACGCATAGCAGACGCATAGCGGGCGCATAGCGGGCGCATAGCGGGCGCATAGCGGGCGCATAGCTGGCGCATAGCAGTCGCATAGCAGGCGCATGGCAGACGCATAGCAGACGCATAGCAGGCGCGGCATATCGTCGGAGGAGGAGCTCGACGACGGTGAAGCAGCGCGGCGCGGGCGCCGGGGCGCCGGCATATCGTCGTCGGACGAGTTCGACGACGCTAGAGCAGCGCGGCGCGGGCGCTGGGGCGCCGGCACATCGTCGTCCGACGAGCTCAAGTCCTGGCGCGGGCGGCGAGCTCCTCGCAGGCCACGAGCCATCAAGGCCCGCGCCTACGCGAAGACGTGCCCGAGGACGTCCAGCGCGCGCGCCGGGAGCCGGAGCCGCGCGCGCCCCGCGTGCTGGCGGGCCGCGCCCGCGGCGGCGCCGCCGCCGCACTCAGGCCATTGGTATGCGAGGAACTTGCACTTTTTATGCGCGCTACGCAACCCCTCCACACGCGTCATTGTTTATTGTGTTTATTTAATTAATCTGAGGGCTCCGCCATCCATGGTAGGAGCGCGTAGCAGCCTAAACTATTATAATTTATGCGCGGAAAGACACCCAAATCCGTGCCAAACAACAGCGGACACGAGCGCCGTAACGCTCGCGGAGGAAGCGTCGTCGAGCCGCGTAGCGCGGCGCGAGCGCCCGGCGCGCCTGTGCGGCGCCTTCAGTCTCGAGGAGGGCGCCGCACGAAAGGAGCGCGTAGTACGGCGGGCACGTGCACACTGGGTCTGCACCATGGACGGCCGCGCGTCTCGCGGCCCACCCCTTGGCGTCGCGCACGGTGTTGACGAAGACGACCCCGTCCCCGAGGCTCGCCAGCAGCTCGGGTACAAGGATCGCATACGGCACATCACCGAGGACCTCGAGACCGCGCGTTAGCACCGACGCCAACAACGCCCGGGCCTCGTCTTCGGCGCCCCGTCGTCCGAGCCGCTCCTCGTACCATCGAACGAGGCGCTGGTGCGCCTCGACGGCGGCCGGCGGCGCGTGACAGCACAGCCGAAAGTGACAAGAGGCCATGCCCAAGGAGCGCGATCTCGTGGACCGCATGCGTCGCTGTCGTGCCGAGCCCCGTGTTGACGAAGCGCACTACCGACGCGTCATTTGTCGCCGCGACACACGATGATTCTTCAGGGCCAAGACAATTTGTGAGAGCATCTCTGTTCCGTCTCGCCAATCTAACATCTGAACATAGCGCTCCATAGTATTTTGTCTGCTAGAGATTTCATTCTTTGAAATTTCTCGAAGGCGCCTCAGCGTGAGACGCGGATCGCGAGACCATTCATCCTCGGAGACCGTGATGGCAATCTCCGCGTAAGGTAAAATTTTACTACATCAGGAAATGGCAGGTCGATATTGTCGCTAATTATCACTGGTAGGCAACCAGCGATCATGGCATCAAAGAGTCTGCGGCTGTTTGGACTATCTCCGCGGGGGACAAAACACCACTTGGCGTGCATCATGGTTTCAGCATACAAGGAGGCCGTTTCGGTTCTCGGGTCTGCCCATTTGATCATAACATCTTGCTCTGATGCCAACTGCACTAGTGCACGACGCACCCGATCGGTAGAGCGGGTTTGATCCCTGCGATTCCCAATAAATGCAAAATCCACAAATTTTGGATATCGATTCCGTCGAATCTCGTGGTGAGCAGAGTAAGGAACAACGATCCCATATGCTTTGACATCGTGCCGCCAGTTAGTCCGTTTAGGATTTAATTCATTGATGAGCAATCGCGCTTTGCGCTGTTGTAAAACTCTCCATTGTTCATTTCGCAGTGCAAACCTGCATCTCCATGATCCACATATAAACGCAATGCGAGCAGTCACCTTTTTGCGTTTCAACCATTGCAAAACCTCCTGCTGTCTACTGTAGTGTTCCACGCCACGGCACTTCCCTACGGCATGGCTGAGCACAGGGAAGGTATCGAGTATGACCACATCAGCTTCGGAGAGTTCGGAAGTTCTCCAGCCGGAATCGACGATTTGCTGGTGTAGATAGTACTCGCCCAAAACTTCAGGAATATGAAGCTTGAGCCGGGGCAAATCCGCTTTCTCTGAAAACGGGCTCGTGTTCCAGCGGTCTTGAAAGCAGCCGAGCAGCGTAGCAACAGGCTGGGTAAAAGTCTTCAAATAAATCTTATGGATTCGAGACGACGTCGTGTTACATTCGATCGCGGTACTCTTATCGCTTTTGAAATTGTGGTTGTTGGAGCGCTTCACTCGAGTATAGGCGCAATCCTCATCTCCCACGAAACGAAGTAGTTCGTTGAACCGGCTCACTGAAAAATTCTCGAGAGGCAGATCAAAATGCTTGTATGTGGAGCTAGTGAGCAAGTCATTACGTAATTGCAAGTCGTGCTCTTCGATTCCTTGTTTTGCAAACATAGGCTTTGACGAGAATTCCGCATGGACATCTAATCTATAATTGTGAATGAATCGGGCACAAGGAAAAACACGGCGCAGCCATTCAAGTCTCTGCCTGCTGATTGCTGCATGCAAAGTTTTGAACCCAATCAGCCTGGTATTGGGTGGAATGGGCCCAAGAGCTACCTTCACCGCGTGCTGAATCTCGCAGAGAACGACCTCTTCTTCAACTCTCCCAAGCGTTTGGAAAGGCCCACTGCGTTGATCTTTATACGTGGCAGTCTCGTAGTAATCGAAGAGCACATCTATGACATCGTCCTCGTTTCGGGACACACGCTCGCCCGCGATGTACACGCCGGGAAGTTCGTTCAACATATCCACGATGGTAGTGCTCCCCGATCGCCCATTCGCAAGAAGAACAACCCATTCGTCCACGCATAAATCACAGCTCGCCTTGCTTGCCGCGGGCTCCGCGGTCAGCTTCTCGTCCAGCTTGACGCCCCCGCCGCCGTGGCGAAGGTGAAGGCGCAGGAAAGTACGGTCGCGCGGATGATGACGTGCATGGTCGAGATTGCGGGTGCCTGCGGGGGAATCGACGCGGTTCGGCGGCGACGATCGACGGACGAGGCGCACGAATCAGGGGTTGAAACCTTTCAGGTACGTCCGCCGACGGCCGGGAGGCCGGCCGCCGGACGCGCCGCGGAAGAGCGACTCGCTCTTCGCCGTCGTCGAGGTGCCCGCCGCGGACCACGCCGCCGGCGGGCCACGACGTCGGCGGCCGGGCTTGCATGCGCTTGGCGTGCACCGAGGACTCGAAGACGTAGCGGAGCGGGTCCCGGCGCGCCGGCCGCCGGCCGCGCCGCGCAAGAGCGAGTCGCTCTTCGCCGTCGTCGAGGTGCCCGCCGCGGACCACGCCGCCGGCGGGCCGCGACGTCGGCGGCCGGGCTTGCATGCGCTTGGCGTGCACCGAGGACTCGAAGACGAAGCGGAGCGGGTCCCGGCGCGCCGGCCGCCGGACGCGCCGAGTCGCTCTTCGCCGTCGTCGAGGTGCCCGCCGCGGACCACGCCGCCGGCGGGCCACGAGGTGGGCGGCCGGGCTTGCATGCGCTTGGCGTGCACCGAGGACTCGAAGACGTAGCGGAGCGGGTCCCGGCGCGCCGGCCGCCGGCCGCGCCGCGCAAGAGCGAGTCGCTCTTCCGCGTCGTCGAGGTGCCCGCCACGGACCACGCCGTCGGCGGGCCGCGACGTCGGCGGCCGAGCTTGCATGCGCTTGGCGTGCACCGAGGACTCGAAGACGAAGCGGAGCGGGTCCCGGCGCGCCGGCCGCCGGACGCGCCGAGTCGCTCTTCGCCGTCGTCGAGGTGCCCGCCGCGGACCACGCCGCCGGCGGGCCGCGAGGTGGGCGGCCGGGCTTGCATGCGCTTGGCGTGCACCGAGGACTCGAAGACGTAGCGGAGCGGGTCCCGGCGCGCCGGCCGCCGGCCGCGCCGCGCAAGAGCGAGTCGCTCTTCCGCGTCGTCGAGGTGCCCGCCACGGACCACGCCGTCGGCGGGCCGCGACGTCGGCGGCCGGGCTTGCATGCGCTTGGCGTGCACCGAGGACTCGAAGACGAAGCGGAGCGGGTCCCGGCGCGCCGGCCGCCGGACGCGCCGAGTCGCTCTTCGCCGTCGTCGAGGTGCCCGCCGCGGACCACGCCGCCGGCGGGCCGCGAGGTGGGCGGCCGGGCTTGCATGCGCTTGGCGTGCACCGAGGACTCGAAGACGTAGCGGAGCGGGTCCCGGCGCGCCGGCCGCCGGCCGCGCCGAGTCGCTCTTCGCCGTCGTCGAGGTGCCCGCCGCGGACCACGCCGCCGGCGGGCCGCGAGGTGGGAGGCCGGGCTTGCATGCGCTTGGCGTGCACCGAGGACTCGAAGACGTAGCGGAGCGGGTCCCGGCGCGCCGGCCGCCGGCCGCGCCGAGTCGCTCTTCGCCGTCGTCGAGGTGCCCGCCGCGGACCACGCCGCCGGCGGGCCGCGAGGTGGGAGGCCGGGCTTGCATGCGCTTGGCGTGCACCGAGGACTCGAAGACGTAGCGGAGCGGGTCCCGGCGCGCCGGCCGCCGGCCGCGCCGCGCAAGAGCGAGTCGCTCTTCGCCGTCGTCGAGGTGCCCGCCGCGGACCACGCCGCCGGCGGGCCGCGAGGTGGGAGGCCGGGCTTGCATGCGCTTGGCGTGCACCGAGGACTCGAAGACGTAGCGGAGCGGGTCCCGGCGCGCCGGCCGCCGGCCGCGCCGCGGAAGGATTTCGAGCGCGTCGGTCGTTGACGACTCGCCGGGTCCGCGGCGGGTCGGGGCGCCCGGGAGGGCGGGGGCGAGGGCGGATGCGTCCGAAGGATACGTCCACGGCCCCTCCCGGGCGCCTCGATCTCTCCCAAAAGATTACAAGCTCGGGGCGCCGATCGACGAAGCTCGGGGCGCGACCGTTTGCTAGCGCCAAGTCCGCCGCGCCCGCGACCGCGACCGGCCCCGAGCCGCGGCGATGGACGGCCGCGCCGCCCGCGCGCCGCCCGCCGGGCGCGGGCGCGTCGTCGAGTCGACGCGGCGCCCGCGGCGCGCCGCGTCGACGGGACGCGCGTCTCGCCGAGGGGCTGCCCCAACTGCCCCAACGGCGACCTCGGGCGATGGCGACGGCCCGAAGGCGCGGCGCGCGTCGCCGCGGCCCGGCGCTCGCGGCGCGTCCCCCGCGCGCCGCGCGCCGGGACCCGGATCGCATCGTCGAGGCGGCCGACCGGACCGGACCGTCGCGCGGGGCTCGGCCTCGGGGCGACCCCCGGCGCGAAGCGCCGGAAGAAAATTTTGCGCACGCGCCGGACGCCCCGCGCGTCTGGGTCTCGCCGCGAGCTCACGCAGCCCGTCGGATGACCGGTTACGGGCCGCGGACCGTCGCGCCACGGCGTCGTCCCCTCGGCGCGCCCGTGCAACCGTAAAACGGTTGTACTTTCGGACCGACGCGGGCAACAGCCCGCGGTCGAAGGCAACCACGCGGAGGACAAGGAGTCCATCGACATGCAGCTCGTGGACGTCGTCCGCGAGGAGTCCTAGCACCTCGACTACCTCCGGGCCTTCCGCGGGCCTCCGGCTCGCGCGCCGACCGTGCCCGAGGACTTCGAGACGGCCGCGTCCACGACTACAACCTCGACGAGTGCCCACGGGACTCGGAGCGATGGACTCCACGCACGCGACGGCCGGCGGGCGGCGGGAGATCGACGAAGATCCCGGCGTCGGCGTCGGCGTCGTCCCCTCGAACGTCTTCGAGACCGTCGCGCTGCTCGGCCGCGCGAAGCGCGGAGGAAAATTTTCCGCATCGCCGCCGCCACCTCGATGCTCGTGACGTGTCGCCCGGCCTCGGCGACTCGACTATCAGCGCGGAGTCTTCCTGGCTGCTACGCGGGCCGTTGCCCGGGGTGCGAAGCTCTGATCACGCCGCACCGCGCGAAGCGCGGAGCCTCTGCCACCGCGCTGGTGCTGCCCCGGCGCCTGACTTGCCCCGGCGCCTGACTTGACCGCAGCGACGAGGGCCATCGATGCCGCGGACGCGTCGCCCAGCTCGGTGGGTCGTCTGCGGAGCGGACCCGCGACCTGCCGAGGCGCGCTCGCCGGCGCTGTCGTGCTGCCGGCGCTGGGTCCCGAACCGGCCGCCTGCCCGAGCTCGCCCCGCCTCGCCATCCTCGCATTGCCCGACCCGCGGCCTGACATTCCCGTGGCGCGGGGCCGTCGCCTCCGCCGCGCCGGTCCCCCGCCCCGGTCTTCCCCGCCCGGGCCCCCCCGCCCCGGTCTTCCCTGCCCGGGGCTCCGGCCCCGGTCCTCGGGCTGGCTCGGGGCCTCTGGCTCGGGGCCTCCGGCCCCGGCCTCCGAGCGCCTCCGGCGCTCGGGGCTGCGCCCCGAGCTTCGGGGCTACCGCCCCGAGCTTGTAATTTTTCGGCTCTCCGAGAACGGGAGCGAGCGCTCGACAAGATCAAGGTTCTCGAGCGACGGACTTCGACGAAAGGGGGAGGACGCGGTTTCGGACGCTGAGTCGCGCGGGGGTATCGGTGTCGGTCTTGAGCGTCAGTGGCGGGTACCGGGGCTCGAACGGGCCGCGCGCACTCTCTCTCTAGCGCATTAGGCGACGCCCCGCCTAGAGCTACGCACAGGGGGGCCTCGCTAAAGCCGCACCGGGCCCCGGGGGGGCTCCTTTTGAGGGGCCGGTCCTCTCTCTCTCTAGCGCATTAGGCGACGCACCCCTCCTCTCTCTAGCGCATTATCTCATTTGTCGCCGCGACAAGCCTCGGACCCGCAAAGACTTCGCACGAGGCGCGCCCCCGGACGACTAGCGCAAGTAGGCACACAAACCTCGGGAAACCAGATTCTACGAGCCGTCGATCTGTCGTCATCATCGCGACTCGTCGAACGCGTACGTAGGCCTCGAGCCCGCCTCGACGTGCCGCAACGCGCACGCTCGACCGGATCGCGCCGACTTCCGCACCGCCGCCCGCCCCCCTTACTCCACGTCGACGCGGAACGCGGTCTGGAAGTAGAAGTTGTCGACGGCGTCCTCGTCCGCGTCGTCGGGCCCCCCGAAGCGCGGCGACACTTTCGCGGCGCCGTCGAAGAAGAACACGGTGCCGTGGTGGCCGCCGAGGAGCAGGTCGTCGACGCCGTCGCCCGTGAGGTCGCCGAGGGCCGGCGCGGCGCTCCCCGCGGCGTCGAGCGGGAACGACCGCGACACGGCGGCCGGGTCGACGTCCGCGAGGACCGTCGAGTTGAACGGCGGCTCGAAGAACACGAGGCCGTCGTCGACGAGCCGCGCGAAGGCGAGGCCCGCCGCGGACGCCACCACCAGCGTCTCCGCGCCCGCGACGCGCCCCGCGGCGACCTTGGCGAGCGCGAGCGAGCCGCCGCGGCCGAGGACGTCGAGGCGGAACGTCCGCGCGTAGCCCAGGCCGTCGACGGCGAAGGCCGGCGCGTCGAGCGTGCCCTCGTTGCGCACGCCCAGGGGCCGCCGAAGCTCGGACGTGAGGAGCAGGTCGAGGTCGCCGTCGCCGTCGAGGTCCGCGAGCGCCGGGCTGACGCGCCTGAGCTTTTTGAACCGCAGCGGCGGCAGCAGCGGCGAGAAGGTCTGGTCGAAGAAGGCGACGGCGCCGTCGACGCCGCCGACGGCGAGGTCCAGGGACCCGTCGCCGTCGAGGTCGCCGAGGGCCGGCGCCGCGAGCGCCGCCGCGCACGGCGCGGACGACACCTGGGTGATTCAACGTCGCTTCAACGTGAGTGTTCCGCGCGCGCGCGTTCCGGAAAAAGCATCCACGCTTCGAGACCGTTCCGAGAGATGATCGCTCGTCCAAAAATCAGCCGAAACGAGTGGAAACTGGCCGAGATCGGAGCCTTTGAAGTTGGCTCTCTTGTGCTGCCCTGGACGACACCTCCGCGAAGGCGGGCGCGGACGCGCCGCCGACGTTCTCGAAGTAGGTCACGGCGCCCGTCGCGTCGCCGACGACGAGGTCGAGGTCGCCGTCGCCTAGATGCGGCGCGTCGAGGGTCCGGCGGGGGGGTCGACGCCGGCGCGCGAGCCGTCGACGTCGCCGAGCGCCGGCGCGGCCGCGTAGCCCACGTCGAGCGCCAGCGCGCCGTAGTCCAGGTCGACGCAGCCGCTCCCCGGGACGCTCCGGCGGCCGGGCGACGTACCTAGTCGCGAGGTCGGCACGATGGCGACGTCTCGACGCCGGGCGACCGCGCAGGCCTCGTCGGCGCAGACCCGGCCCTCGACGGCGCCCGCGCGCGCGCGGAAGCCGTCGAAGCCCTCGTGGGCGCGGATGTCCGGGCAGGCCGCCAGGAGGTTCGGCGCCGGCGCCGCCGCGCCGTCGGCCTTGGCGCGGACGCCGTCCGGGCCCCAGAGCCGGGCCTCGAGGCGCTCCGCGGCCACCGCGCCCCGGAGCGTCCGGCCGTCGCCCGTCGCGACGTAGGGCACCCAGCCGCCGTAGTAGACGATGAGGTCGCCGGGCGCCGTCTCCGCCTCGAACGCGTCGACGCTCGCGTACGCGTCGCCGACGGGCACGCCGACCTAGGGACGCGCGTCGCGGACGGACGACGCGAAACGCCCCACTCACCTCGGCGGGCGACCGCCGCTCGAAGGTCCAGCGCGTCAGGCCCGTGACCTGGAGCGACCAGGACGGCACGCAGGCCGCGTCCGTGCGCGGCCGGCGCCGCGGCGTCGACCGCGCGGCGGCCACGCGGCAGCCGCCCTCGCAGCCCGCCGACTCGTTCCGCAGCGACGCGGCGCCGTCCGCGGCGACGGCGAGCTCTCCGAGCAACGCGTCGACCCAGGCCGGCGGCGCGTCCCAGCCCTCGAGGCCCGCGAGCCGCGCGACGTCGACGGCCGACGACAGGACGACGGGCACATCCCGTAACACGAACTCCTCGAGCAGCCGCGTGCCGCTCAAGGTCGCCGCGTCGACGCGCGGCACCGGCGACGTGCGGCGGCAGTCGCTCGTCGCCAGCGGCAGCGTTGCGACGAGCAAAACGATATGCGCGAGAGGGATGGACATCATGCTCTGTGCAAAGCACCTTCGGTGCACTTGGCGTCGTAATTGCACGCCAACTTCGGCTTACACGACGTAATTGCAGCAAAAACGGAGCAAGGCATGGTGATGCCAGCCTAGTTTAGGCAGTCCTCCTTGGACGATGGCGTCGGAGACGCTGGACGACGCCTACGAGGAGATCGTGGCCGGGCGCAGCGAGGTCGTCGCCGCCGCCGGCGACTTCGTGTCGCTGAGCGCTCCCGCCGTCGTCGTCGGCGCCGCCGCGGCCGCCGAGAGCGAGGACGACGAGGACGCGTACCAGGAGGAGCTCGTGCCCATCACGGAGGACGGCGACGGCGACGAGGGCGGCGGCGACACGGCGCCGGACGCGCCGCCGTCGCCGGAGCCGCCGCGGCGCCAGTCGACGCGCGGCGGGCCGCTCTCGCTCTCGAACCGGCGGCGGTCCGCGGCCATGGAGGCGCGGCGGCGGTCGTCGAACCTGCTCCTGCCGTCGCAGCGGCGGAGCAGCCAGGGCGCGGGCGGGCGGAGCTCGCTCGTGCTCGGCCCCGGCGACGCGCTCCGCCGCGCGTCCGGCGACGGCGCGGGCGGCGGCCGGAGCAGCATCGTCGGCGGCGTCCGCCGCGCGTCCGGCGACTCCATGCGGCGGTCGTCGGCGGGCGGCGGCCGGAGCAGCCTCGTCGGGAGCCACGGCGGCGGCGGCGGCGGGCTCCTGGGCCGGCGCACGTCGAAGCCGCTGCGGCGCGCGGCGGGCTTCTCCCAAATCGACCGCCGCGGGTCCGGCGGGCTCGGCCTCCGCCGCGGCTCGGACGCGGCGGCGCGCGGCGCCCAGCGCCGCGGCTCCGGCGTCGGCCGCAGCCTCGGCGAGGCCGTGGACGGCATCGAGAGCGTCGCCGCGAAGCCGCTCCGCCGGTCGTTCCACGGGGGCGCGACCCCTTTGCCCGGCTGGGCGAACCGCCGCATGTCCGTCACCGCGGCGGAGAAGGCCGAGAGCGGCGAGGCCCCCGCGACTCGGGCCGCCCTCGTCGCCAAGGTCGCCGACGAGCTCAGCAAGCTCGAGGCGCAGGTCGAGAAGAACGCGTTGCGGGGCCGCATGTCGCGCCAGCAGAGCCAGGCCTTCATCTCGCAGCTCGATTCGGCGAAAAAGGCCATGGAGTCCAAGGTCAAGGCGTCGACGCGGCGGCGGCCCGACGACAGCGAGTCCGACGCCAACGAGAGCGACTCGGACGACGGCGCCGCCGGCGACGCGGCGCCGACGATCGAGGCCGCGGCGGCCGTCGAGGCGCGCGAGGCCTCGGCGCCGGAGCCCGCGGCCGTCGCCGAGGAGACCAAGTCCGGCGAGTCGAACGAGCGCAGGGGCCGGGGCTCCTGGCGCGGCTCCGGCCGGGGGCTCCAGTCGTTCGCAGGGCAGGACAAGAGAGCGAAATTCCCAACTTCAAAGGCTCCTATCTCGGCCGTTTTCCACTCGTTTCGGCTAATTTTTGGACGAGCGATCATCCCTCGGAGCGCTCTCGAAGCGTGAATGCTTTTCCCGGAACGCGCGCGCGCGGAACACTCACGTTGAAGCGACGTTGAACCTCTCTTGCCCAGGTCGTTCGTCGCGCTGACCAAGGACAACGTCCGCGGGTCCCTGAAGGACCTGTCGAAGCTCCTGGGCGGCGCGGGCGAGCGGGACGGCGCCGTGCAGATCCAGACCGCGCTGGTCAAGCTCATGGAGGAGCTCAAGGTCGGCCTCGGCGACGAGGGCGACCCGACGGGCGCGCTCGAGGAGACGTCGAAGGCGATGAAGGCGCTGCTCCAGTCCGCGGCGACGGAGTCGCTCGAGGCCATGCCCCCGCGGCGCTGGTGGATCCTGGACGCCGACGGCCTCGTCCGGAAGACGCTCGACGTCGCGGTCTTTGGCGCCGCCGTCGCCGTCGCGATCTGGGTGCCGTACTCGGCCGCGTTCCTGCGGACGTCCGACGGCGGCGACCGCGCCTTCGACGCGCTCGTCACGGCCCTGTTCCTGGCGGACACGGCGGCGAACTGCGCGACGGCGGTCGTCGTCGACGAGTCGGGCGACGCGCGCGAGACGCGGCCGGCCGCGATCGCGCGGCGCTACTTCCTCCGGTCCACGGGCGTCGTCGACGTGCTGTCGTCCGTGCCCTGGCACTACGTCGCCTGCGGCGCGCAGCGGAGCGGCGACCGGCGCTGGGTGACCTGCGGGCGGCCCCTGCGGCTCCTCCGGCTCTTCCGCGTGCACCAGATCTCGAAGCTCCGCCACTTCTGCGAGTACCTGGAGATGGTCTTCCAGTGGCACACGGCCTGGACGACGCTCATGTCCTTCACGCTGCGCATGTGCCTCTTCAGCCACTTCGTGGGCTGCGCCTGGTACGCCATCGGCACGGTCGCGCTCGCGCACCCGGACGCGCGGTGGAACGCGTACCGCGACGACGACGGTGCCGGGCCCGGCGACCGCGCGGCCGTCGCGACCTGGGTCGACGTCTACGTCGACCCCCGCGACGACAACACGGGCCGCTACATCGCCGCCATGTACTGGAGCCTGTCGACGCTGACGACGGTCGGCTACGGCGACGTCAACTCGGGGTCGACGGTCGAGCGGCTCTTCGCGATCCTGATCATGATCGTCGGCGTGTCCTACTACACCTACATCATCTCGTCGCTGTCGTCCATCATCTCGACCTTCGACTCCCAGGCCGCGCAGGTCAACGAGAAGCTCGTCGCGGTCCGGGGCTTCGTGCGCGAGAACAAGCTGCCGGGCCCCCTCGCGGACAAGGTCACGACGTTCTTCCAGGCCTACTACGCGGCGTCGAACTGGCGCATGAATTTGTACGACGCGTCGGAGCTCCTGGCGAACCTGCCCGTGGCGCTCCGGTGCGAGATCATCATGTACATCGAGCGCGACACGATCTCGCGCATCCGCTTCCTCGACAACAAGACGACGCCGTTCATCGCGGACATCGTCATGATGCTCCAGCCGGCCTACTACCGGCCGGGCGACTTCGTCGTCAAGGAGCACTCGCCGGCGAACGAGATGTTCTTCCTGACGCGGGGCAAGGCGACGGTGCTGCAGAAGGGCAAGTCCGTCTTCGTGCTCGAGAGCGGCTCCTATTTCGGGGAGATCGGCTGCATCATCGACGCCGTGCGCAACGCGTCGATCCAGGCCATGAACGACTCGGAGGTCCAGGTGCTGCAGAAGGAGAACCTGCTCGAGCTGCTGAGCAACTACCCCCAGGTCGCGGACGAGCTCCAGGAGAAGGCCAAGGCGCACCTGACGGTGAAGAAGCGGAAATTCGCGGTGGCGTCGCCGAGCGTGACGGCCAGGGACCTCCAGGCGCTGGGCCAGAGCCTCGCGACGTCCGACGCGGAGCGGACGACGAACGCGCGCGCGGAGCGCAAGGTCGACGAGGAGATGAAGCGCATCGAGCGCGGCTTCTCGGCGATCTCGAGCCGCCACGCGGGCGCGGCCGCGCCCGACGCGGGCCGCGCGAGCGTCCAGGAGGGCGAGGCCGCCGTGTCCGCGGAGCTCCGCAGCTTCAAGGACAGCCTCTCCGAGGTCATCTCCGCGACGGTGCAGCAGGAGCTCCGCCGGGGCTCCGCGCGGCACTCGCTGCGCAACTCCATCATGCGCGACGAGCTCGACGACTCCGACTCGGACCTCGACTCGCCCGCGGCCCGCGTCGCCGACGCGCCCGCGGCGCCGTCCTAACACTCACATATCCCGCCGGCGGGGCGGCGACGGCGCGCTGAACGCGGCGTCGGGGCCCCAGGGGGATAAATCTCTCAGAGGGGGGTAAGGGAGCGGCGCGTCTGCGGCTCGCCGCGGGGCATGGGCCCGCGGCGCCGTCCGACGCGCCCCCTCCGGCCCGCGGGCGCGCGGCGGCGGGCGCCTCCGTCGGCGCGCCGCGGGGCATGGGCCCGCGGCGGCACCGTGCGGCCGGGCCGCGGATGAAGTCTCCTGAGCCGGGGCCGCGCATCGACGGGGCCGTGCAATGTGACCTCAACCGCAGGCAACGAAGCCGGCGTTCTCCCTACAACGAGTCGGTTGTGTTTCCCGCATGGGCGGCGGCCGCTAAGCGGGGGCAGCCCCGCGGAGACGGACGTCGACTTTGGCCGCCGGAGATGGACCTCGCGGGCATGGACCTGTCGCAGCAGCTCGACCGCATGAAGGAGTCGTTCCTCTGGGCGGCGGCCAAGGGGGGCCGCGAGGAGGAGGTCGAGTCGCTCCTGTCCATCGGCGCCGACGTGAACTGGGTGAGCAACGAGGGCGACACGCCGCTCATCGCCGCCTGCCGCCACGGCCACCGGGGCGTCGCCGCGCTGCTCCTCGCGCACGGCGGCGACGCGTCCGCGACGACGTCCGGCGGCGGCGAGGGCGCGCTCCACCTCTGCTGCCGCCGCGGCGACGAGGACCTGAGCGCGCTCCTCGTGGACGCGGGCGCCGACGGCGACCGGGGCCCCGCGGGGGCCACGGCCTTCGACGCGGGCGTCGAGTCCGGCCACGAGCAGATGGTCGCGCGGCTGCGAAACCTCCAGCTCCGCCACGGCGCGGCCGCGCGCGTCCACGGCGCGGCGCAGGCGCGGACGCCCCCGCGGCGCGCGAGCCCGCGGGCCCACGCGCCGCCGAGCGCCGCGCGGACGCCGCCGGCGGCGCGGTCCGCGTCCGCGCGGTCCGCGGCGAGCCCCGCGGGCCCCCCCGTGAGCCGCGCGCTGAGCCTGCCCGCGCTGCCGCGGCACGACGACGACTACGAGTCGTCGGCGGAGTCGCTGAGCCCGGACCCCGTCTCCGCGCGGCGCCTCCCCGGCGACGCGGAGCCCGCGCGGCGCGCGCGCGGCGACGCGGCGCCCCGGCGGAGCCCGCGCGCGGCCGACGAGCCCCGGCGCCGGGCGGAGGAGAAGCCCGCGGCGCCCTCCGAGGCCTTCTCCATGAGCAAGCTCTACGAGGGCGAGGGCGAGTCCAAGGCCGAGCGCGCGGCGCGCGCCGCGGAGCGGCGCATCGAGGCGGCCATGGTCGAGGCGGAGCGGCGCGGCGCGGCGGCCGCGGAGCAGGAGGCGGAGGACCGCGCGGCGCAGCGGAGCCGCCGCGAGGCCTTGCCCCTCCCCGGCGACGACATCTTGATCGCGCCGCCGGACCGGCCGCGGACCGTCGACGCGGAGCACCGGGGCTTCTTCGCGCGGCAGCTCGAGGAGGCGGAGCGCGCGCTCGCGGCGGAGCGGTCGGGCCGCGAGGCGGACAAGCGCAAGGCCGACGCCATCAAGGCCCAGAGCCACCAGCTCCTCTCGGACCTCATGCACTCGCAGTCCGCGGCCGCGCGGCTCCGGGACGAGCGCGCGCGGCTCCAGCGCGAGCTCCGGACGCTCCGGGGCCACGAGCTCGCGGGGCTATCCGCCGAGGAGCTGTCCAAGCTCGAGGCCGACGTGACGGCCGCCGCGCGGCGCATCGCGCGCTACAAGGAGAAGCGGCTCCGCGCCGCGCTCCGCGTGCCGGACGCGTACGTGTGCCCGATCACGCGCGAGCTCATGCACGACCCGGTCTTCGCATCCGACGGCCACACCTACGAGCGCGACGCCATCCAGCAGTGGCTCATCAGCCACGACACGTCGCCGAAGACGGGCCTCATCCTCGACTCGAAGCACCTCGTGCCCAACTTCGCCATCCGCTCCGCCATCGACGAGCTCAAGGCCCGCAACGACAACGCGCCCGACGAGTCGCCCGCCGCGCAGAAGCAGGGCGAGCGGGCGTAAGGGGGGATCTTGAGGTGAATTGGTTTCGACGTTGAGGTCAGTGTTTGAGAGCGATTCAGTGGCAAAAGCGGAGCCATCCGAGATCGTCACACGCGAGCTTGCCAATACCAGGACTGCGGCCCAGCGCAACGAGATGGCATCCGCGCGCTACGCACCGCTCGACATCAGCGGCTGGACCGTCATGGTGACGGGCGCGAGCTCCGGCTTCGGCCTCGCGACGGCCTGGCGCTTCGCGGAGCTCGGGCGCGGCGCGGCGCCCGGTTCTCGACTCCCGCGCGGTGCGCGCCGACGGCGCGTCGTCCCGCAGGTGCAAGCTCGTGCTCGTCGCGCGGCGCGAGGAGCGGCTCAAGGCCCTCGCCGCGGAGATCGTCGCCAAGTACCCCGGCGCGGCGCCGGCGCGGCGAGCCCGCGGCCGCGCCGCCGCGCGCGCACGCGCCTCCGCCGCAGGCGTCAAGTGCCACTGCTTCCCCCTGGACATGATGGACATCCCCAAGGTCGAGGCCGCGGCGACGCTCCTGCCCGCGGACTTCGCCGAGGTCGACATCCTCGTCAACAACGCGGGCCTGGCGCTCGGCAAGGCCACGGCGGACGAGAACGCGACGGAGGACGTCGTGCGCATGATGACGACGAACGTGAGCGCCCTCATCGTCTGCACGGCGACCTTCGCCAAGGGCATGAAGAAGCGCGGCCGCGGCCGGACGGCTGGGAACTCCGTCTCCGCGAAGCCCGGCGAGAGGCACGTCGTCGCTTGTTGGGGGGGGGCGCGTCGCGCGGCGACGCGCCCCGGCGCAGGCACGCGGTGACCGCGTTCACGTCCGCGGCGCGCCACGACTTGGTCGGCACGCCGATCCGCGTCACGTGCATCTCGCCGGGCTTCGCGGAGACGGAGTTCTCCCTCGTCCGCTTCAAGCGCGTTCCCGCGGCGTCTCGCGGGTGGCGGCCGCCGCCCCCCCGAAAAACTCCTTTCTTTAGGGCCGACGAGAAGAAGGCCGCGAGCGTCTACACGGACCTCGTGCCGCTCTACGCGGACGACATCGCGGACCAGATCGTCTACGCGGCGACGCGCCCGGCCCACGTCCAGATCGCCGACATCATCTGCTGGCCCACGAACCAGGCCGGCCCGACGAACATCGCCCGCGTCGGCGCGTCGCTCGGCGCGCCCGCCAAGTAGGCGGCCTTCGAAACGCGCGAGCCCCGCCCAACCCCCCTGCGGGCTCTAACGTTCTCCCGATTTGCAGACATGGTTGGTTTTTACGCTTCTACCGCGTAAAGAGCGGCGGACGTGCGGAGCTCGCTCACGCGTAGGGGTCGGGCGTCGACGACTTCGCGTAGGCCGGCGGCGTGCACGCGTCGATGAGTTCGGCGTCCGAGGCGGCCTTGATCGCGTTCTTCGGCCAGCGGCCCCGGTGCGCGTCGACGCGAAGGTTCGCCCATTTGTCGAGGCCCGCGTTGACGCCCGCGTCCGACGACGACGGGCACGCCATCGCCGAACAGGAGAAGAAGCAGTTCTCCTGAGCGTCCAGGGAGCCGCCCGACGCGACGCGCTTCATGTCCTTCGACGTCAGCTCGGGGCTCTTGGGGATCGAGGCCCAATCGATCTTCTTCTCCTCGAGCACGGCGTTCGGGGAGTCGGACCGCTTCTTCGACGATCGCCGGGGCGACTCCGGCGCGGCCCGCGCGTCGCGGCGCCGCCCCTTGAGCACGGCGAGCATGCCCGCGGGCGCGGCGTCGAGCACCGACATTCTTGACGAGCTGTTGCAGAAGGCGATTCTCACGACAGCGGCACCTTTAGAGATGTAGCCGCGCCGCGGAAGTCGTTGAGCCGGCCGAGGCGAGGCAGCCCACGGCCACGAGCACCGGCGCCGCCACCAGCGACGAGGTCCGCGCGCTCGCGGCGGCCGTCGAGTGCCTGGGATGATCTTCGACGCGGCGGAGGCGCGCGTGGGCGCCGTGGACGCGCTGCAGGCGGAGCACGGCCGGAGCCGGCGCTGCTTCCAGGACCGCCTCGCGCGCCGCGCCCTGCGCGCGGAGCAAAAGTCGGCGGCGGACGCCTACCGCCTCGCCGACGAGGGCGCCGAGAAAAAGGCCGCGGCGGCCGAGGAGATGAAGCAGCGGCGCGCGCGCGCGCGGAGCGAGGGCGCGGCCAGGGCGCGGCGGAGGGCCCGCGCGCGCGCGCGGCGGACCGAGGAGCGGCGGACGAAGAGCCAGGGCGACGGCGGCGGCGTCCGGTGCCGGCCGGCGACGGAGGCGCTGACGAGCGAGGAGAAGGTCGCGCTGGCGTCCTGGGAGCACCAGGCGGCGCAGATCGCCGCGGAGCAGGAGGCCGTCGCGTCGCGGATGAAGAAGCGGGGCGACGAGCTCGCGGCGCGCGAGGCGCGCGCGGCCGCCGCGCCGACGCGCGTCGCGCGGCCCGAGCTCTTCCGGCTGGACCTGCCGACGCCCGACGAGAGCGACCTCGTCGAGCCCGGCGAGATGACGAACGCGGAGTGGCACAAGGAGACGGCGAAGGAGCGGCTCGAGCTCATGAAGCGGGGGCGGCCGCAGCGCAAGGCCGCGCCCCTCTCGGAGGTCCTCGAGAACGAGATCAAGCGCGCGCCCATCCGGGCGGACCTCCTCGGCGACGCGGCCCCGGCGGCCCGGCGGAAGAAGAAGGAGCCGTCGCCGCTGTCCCTGCTCGGCGACGGCGACCTGAGCCTCAACGTGCCCGTGAAGCCCCAGATCCGGCTCCCGAAAATCAACGGCGCGACCCAGTAGTAGGCGCATCCTTAGAGGCTCGTGGCCTTGACGCCGGACCGGTGCTGGGCCGTCTCGACGCGCATCGTCGTGTCGACGAGCTGGTTGTAGAAGACGAAGGCGCAGAGCTTTTCGAGGAGGTACTTGACAACCACAAAGAGGGCGAGGTACTTGATCCACGCGTCCTTGAGCACCTCGCTCGCCGTCGGCGTGTACAGGATCTCCATCTCCGGGATGCGCATGACCATCGTGAAGTTGAACTCCTCGCGGACGCCGAAGGGCCCGTCGATGGGCGGCGGCGCCGGCGACCAGACCTTGTAGAGCTCGTGGTAGTCCATGGTGTTGTTCCGGTTGCGGTAGCCGTAGAAGATGTTCGGCATGAGCGTCTCCTCGAGCGTGAGCTCGTGGTCCGTGGGGTCGAGGAGCGGGTACTTCGTGTAGGGCAGGTAGTAGCCGCCCTTGGCGCGGAAGGGCCAGCGCTGGCGCAGGCCCACGTCGCCGTCGACGTAGAGCGCCTTGCCCGCCATGCCGCCGCCGCCGCCGGACGAGTACGCGAGCGCGTCCATGTGGACGCGCGCGCGGCGCCGGAGCTTGACGTCGTAGAAGGTGACGAGGTCCGCGTGGAGGACGCGCTCGCCCTTCCGCAGCGGGATCAGCGCCGTGAGGTGGAACTGGTCCGCCATGCCGTCGCGGTTGAGGTCGAGCTCGATGGACCGCAGCGTCGGCACGCGGAGCTCGCCGCTGTAGAGGTTCTCGACGTCGGCCATGGACGAGAAGACGATCTGGAAATTCCGGCCGTCGGCGTCGACGCCCTGGAGGTTCCCCAGCACCTTGTACTGGAAGGCGACCTTGGGCTGCTCGCGGTACGTGTTCGTCTTCAGCCAGAACGAGGGCACGTTCGTGTAGGCGAGGAAGAAGGGCACGACGATGGCCACGAGCCCGACGAGGAGGAAGAAGAAGTAGGCGCAGGAGAAGCGCGACGCGTAGTAGCGCCGCGCCAGCGGCTCGTGATAGACCTCGACCATGGTGTTTTGCGGCTGCCCCGGACGAAGGTGCCGTGCATGCACATCAAGAAGCTCCTTGAGGTGTCGATTGATTGGCTCCTCACGATGATGAGGCTTGTTGTGTTAGCGGGGCTGCTGCTCGCCGTCGACGGCCGTTCGCTGCCCGAGGGGAATCTCATCGTCGGGTACCAGAGCTGGAGCACCTGTCCACATCACCGCGTCTGATTTCGTGGGCATAGTGTGCATTGATGGGCGCGCCTTGGTCGTCGTGTCGAGGCGACCATAGTACACCCGCTCGTAGGTAATTTGACCCAAACACACACGGCCGTGCGCGGCGGCGTGAACGTCGTCATCTGGTTCGCGACGAACCTCGCGTCCAAGGACGGCGAACCCGCCGTGACCGGCGGACCCAATTACACGTGCGTCGCCGCCGTCGCCGCGGCGCTCGAGGCCGACGGCCTGGCGACGACGCACCTCGTGTCCATCGGCGGCTGGGACGCGATGCACCCGAACACGACCTGGGACGGCAAAACTTGGTTCCGGACCTGGAAGGCCTGGAACGAGCAGCTGCCCCGGCCCTTCGACGGCTTCGACTGGGACCTCGAGGGCAACGACGTCGTGTCGTCGCGGTGGAACCACTTCACGCGCGCCTGCCTGGACTTGGTCGTGGCCATGTCCGAGGCCGCCAAGGCCGACGGCTACGTCGTCTCCATGGTGCCGGCCCAGTCCTACCTCGACGAGTCGACGTCGTCGTTCAACCCGAGCCTGCTCAACGCGTACGAAGACTGGCACCCGGACTTCGCGTACCACGGCATGAACGCCTACGCGTACCTGCTCGCCGAGGCGAACCCGGATACGTTCGACATGGTCATCGTCCAGCTCTACGAGGGCTGGTCCCGCGCGGACTACGCGCTGCTGGCGTTGCGCGCGAAGCCGGCCGCGTACCTTCGGACCTGGGCCGCGAACATGATCGCCGGCTGGACCGTCGACTTTCCCGACGGGCCCGCGACGGTCAAGGTCGCGTCTCACCAGCTCGTCGTCGGCCTCTCGCGCGGCGGGAGCGACGGCAAGTCGGCCTTCTTCTGGCCCCGGGACTGCGGCGACGCGTGGGCCGCCGCGGCGCCGGCGGACCGGCCCCGGGGCTACGCGTTTTGGAACATCCCCAACGAGGGCCAGACCGTCAACGGCACGAACGAAACGCTGTCCTTCGCGCCGACGCTCAACGCGTTTTTGCACGTGCGCGGTGGGTAACGCGCCTTTCTAGGGCGCCGTGTAGTTGTCACACGGTGGCCGGGGTCCTCGAGGGGCCAGTTCACGCGCCTTTCTAGGCCGCGTAGTTGTGGCCGGGGTTCTCGAGGGGCCCGTTCACGCGCCTTTCTAGGGCGCAGTGTAGTTGTGGCCGGGGTCGTCGAGGGGCCAGACGACGAGAGTGCCGCCGGTTTGGACGGACGCGCCCGTGTTCGCCGGGCCGGGCGCCGCGTAGACGACGAGCGCCGTGCGGTTGTTGACGATGAGCTCGACGATGGAGTGGTCGACGATGGCGTGGAAGACGTAGGCGCCGTCGACGGCCGGCGGCAGCGGGCCCGCGCGGACGTCCGGGTTGCCGAGCGTCGTCGCGTCGACGAGGACGCGGCCGCCGGCGACGGAGACGCGCACGAGGCTCGCGCCGGCCTCGACGTCGAGGAGCAGGTCGAAGCCGCAGCCCGACGCGCAGGCCGCCGCGGCGAACGTCGCGACGGCCTCGGCCTGGCGCGTCGCGGGGAAGACGCCGCCCACCGGCGCGACGGGGTCGCGGCGCAGGGCCTCGAGCTCGGGCACGAAGCGCTGGAGGAGCTCGAGGCCCGAGAGCGTGAGCTCGCGGGGCAGCGACTGCGCGGAGCCGCGGCTCGACGTGTTCATCGCGTTCGGCGGAGGGCCCGTCCAGCCGATCATGACGCGGCGGCCGGGCTCGGTGACCTGGTCGACGGCCTCGCTCCCGAGCGTCCGCGCCATGGAGAAGCCGCGGCTGCCCGTGCCGTGGACGTCGCCGCCGTCGTAGACGAACGCGCCGTAGTCGACCATGCCCGTCGCGAGCTCCTCGAACGGCCCCCCGGGCGCGGTCTCGTTCATCACGCGCCAGGACGTCGTGCCGCTGCAGCACCCCACGCCGCCGCCGTTGCCGCCGACGTTGTCGAAGAAGACGCGGAGCTTCGGGTCGACCTCGGGGAAGCCCAAGAAGTCGATGGTCACGAACTCGTGCTCGAGGTGCGCGCCGGGAAGGACGGTCGTGTTGTCCGTGAACGCGGGGCCGACGTAGGTCCAGTCCGCCTCCGGGCCCCGGAGCGCGGGGCTAGACCACGCGTCGAGCTGGCCGCCGAGCGCGCAGCCCTCGCCCTCGCGCGGCGCGTCCGTCGCGTTGCAGCCGTCCATGCTCAGCAGCACGTACCACCTGCCGTCGCCGCCGACCCAGGGGCGCGCGGGGTCGTAGGGGATGTGGCGCCAGAAGGACACGTTGAAGAGGTATTCGGGCGACGCGTCGTCGAAGGCGCTCAGGTCGTCGTCGACGGCGCAGCGGAGCTCGAGCGGCACGTCCCAGGCCTGGCCGCCCGCGACGCCCTCGCTCGAGCCGCACTGGCGGAAGCCCGCGCAGACGCGGTCGCCGTCGAGCGGGTCCTTGGTCAGGAAGCCGCTGCAGGGGTCGCTCCTCGAGTCCATGCCCGCGTAGGTCTCCTCGATCGCGCTCGGCCCGTGCGGCGCGGCGGACCAGCGCACGAGGTCCGGCGACGACGCGTGGTTCCAGCCCGTGCCCTGGAAGACGTGGTGCACGCCCTTGTGCGTGATGGCGCCGGCGATGTCGTGCCAGCCCGTCCTGTCGCCCGTCGTCGCGGACGAGTAGTGGATGGCGATCGGGTCCAAATTCGCCGGGTAGGCGCGGGCTGCCCCGACCAAGAGGAATGCGAGGAGGGCCATGGCAGTCCACCTGGCGTCGAAGGGCTGCACGCAGGCCGTCGAGAGGCGAGAACAATGGGATGCTGGCAGTCCACCTGGCGTCGAAGGGCTGCACGCAGGCCGACGAGAGACGAGAACAAAGGTCTTCCTCGCGCTGGACTCGAGGCGGGCCCAGGTTCCGGGGTAAATGACGGCACCGTGAAGCCGCGTTCGGAGAGCGCGTGCAATATCTCGTGCATCTCGCGTCGCCATGTGCGGCGACCCACCAATCCCGAGAGGTCGACGTAGGAAGCCTTCTTCGCCCTAACTCGTCCGCCTCGCGCGTGCCTTCCACCAATCTATCGCTCCGGCAACTCCACGTGCAACGACGATGGCCGCGCCGCCGCCGAGCGCCGCGCCGATCCTCCTCCGCACGCTCGTCCGCAGCGCGCGCGAGCTCGCCGCCGCGCCGTCGCTCAAGCTCCTGATCGACGGCGGCGTCGTGCGCCAGACGCCGCGGTCGCGGCAGATCGCCAGCCTCCAGCGGCGCCTCGTCGAGGCGGAGGAGCGGGGCGGCCCGCGGCGCGTCGTCGCCGCGGCGGTCCGGGGCTTCGCGAGCCGGTCCGCCGAGGGGGGCTTCGAGGCCGACGCGCTCGACGAGGGCTTCCGCTGGCTCCGGCGCCTCAACGAGGCGTCGCTGCAGCTGTCGGAGCTCGGGGAGACGGGCGCCGCGGAGCCGCGGCGGCGGCGGCCCGACGTCCGCTACGGCGTCGGCAAGATCCTCTTCCACAAAAACCACGGCTCGTGCTGCGTCTACGGCTGGGAGGCGTCGTCCGCGTCCCTCTCCGAGGCGTCGCGCGACGACCTCGACGGCGACATCGTCGACAACCGCCGGTTCTTCAACGGTTTGGACCCGGGCTGCTCGTGTTCCACGAAGCCGCACTACCGGTGCCTCTTCCACGACGGCGCGGCGCGCTGCTGCTCCGAGGATTTGTTGGAGGACCCCGGCCTGCGGCCCGCGGACTGCAAGATCGCCGGCGCGTCCTACTTCTTCAAGGACGCGACGGACGAGCGGCTCGTGCCGAACGAGTCCCTCGCGCGGCTCTACCCGGACGACTGCCGCGACGAGCCCGCGGACCTCAAGGACTCCGCGTCCTACGCCGTCGCCTGGATGCGGGCCCGGCGCAACCTCTACAAGCGGTAACGTAGTTTTATCCTCCTCGTCCCGGGGGGCGCGCGTCGGGGTCTACCGGGCGGCATCGAGTTCTACCCTGTCGCGGAGGTTTACGCCGCGGTCTACAGAGCGGTACCTTAGAGTTCCACCCTACTCGTCGGGGAGCACGTCGAGGTCGACGCCGTCGAGCGTCGCGTCCTCGAGGTAGAGCTCCTCGACGCTCCGCGGGTCCGGCGGCGGCGCCTCCTCCTCCGGCTCCTCCTCCTCCTCCTCTTCTCTGTCGGCCGTGTCCGCAGTCGCGTCGTCGTCCTCCTCGTCGTCCTCGTCGTCGTCCTCCTCCTCCTCGCTGCTGTCGTCCGCGGCCATGATCTGGTCCTTGTACTCGACGTACTCCTGCATGGTGATCGCGCCCGTGTCGAAGAGCTCCTTGGCCCGGGCCAGCGCCGACGCCATGGCCGCGTCGGCCTCGGCCTTCTCCGCCGCGGACTGGACGGGCTTCGCGGCCGCGCCCTTCTTCGCCTTGAGCACGTCGGTGCCCTCGGAGAAGAGCGCGCGCTCCATCTGCTCCTCCTGCTCGCGCGCGAGGCGCTTCGCCTTTTTTTCTTCGATGTGCTTCGCGCGCGCCGCGTCCTCGTTACCCGTGATGCTCTGCTTGACGCGCTGCACGGCCTTTTGCGCCTTGGCGGAGTTCTTCTTGTTCTTGATGCCGAAGGTCTGGTCGGCGACGCGCCGCGCCTTCTCCTCGGCGATGACCTTCTTCGACTTCGTCTCCGAGGGGCCCTTCTTCTTGGACGGCATGGTGGTTTTGAATCGACGCGGCCCTCAGCGAGGAGCTCGAGGCGGCGGAGGTGCTCTCGATCGGCTCGGACAAAAAATATGCTCTGCGATGGGCGCACTCTGAGCGCGTCTGGAACTCGGTGATCGCGCGCATTGTAGCTCGTAAACTCGTTCGCGTCGACTCACAACGCCCTTCGGTTCGTCGCCATCGACCTCCATCGCAATTTGAGCGACGCCGTCGATCTCCATCGATGGCCACAACGCACAACAAACTGGGCGGCATCGCGCTGCTCGTCGGCGTCTGGTGCTTCGCGCCGGCCGTCCTGACGACGTCGACGCGCGTGCTCGTCAGCGACGTCAGCGGCGACCACAGCGACGCGGGCGTCGACCTCGACGGCGAGCTGAGCGTCGTCGACGGCGTCGAGTTCGTGTGGCAGGCGCCGCCGGCGGCCAAGGGCGTGCTCGCCGTGCTCCACGGCTGCAGCCACCGGGGCACGGACGCCTTCCCGAAATCGGCAACATGCGCCGAGTGCATCGGCCTGCCCATCGAGACGCGCGTCGTCGCCGCCGCGCTCGCCCGCGGCTGGGCCGTCGCCGCCGTGACGTCCGAGGACCGGCGGTCGGGCTGCTGGGGCCGCGGCGACGCGCCGCGCGTCGCGGCGGCCGTCGCGCACGTGCGCGCGAAATCCGGCGCGGGCGCGGCGACGGCGACGCTCGGCGCGTCCTCGGGCGGCTCCATGGCGACGGCGATTCCCGGCGTCGTCGGCGCCGTCGCGCAGATCATGCCGTCGCACGGGCCCCTCGACGGGACGCACCCGCCCGTGCGCTTCGTGCACATGGCGCGCGACGAGCGGCGGGCCGCGGCGATCGCGCGCCAGCTCCACCAGCTGCGCGCGGCGGGCGTCGACGCCGCGGAGCTCGTGGTTCATCCCGAGCCCCTGTCCGCCGAGGCGCTGCACCGGCGCGGGCCGGGGCCCGGCGGCCTCGTGCTGCCGACGGAGGAGCTCGCGGCGAAGGTCTTCGCGGCGCTGCGGCGCGGCGGCGAGCTCGACGCCGCGGGCGTGCTCACGCGCGACCCGCGCGCGTCGCGCTGGCGGGACGCGGTCCGGCCCGTCGTCCCGGCGAGCGTCGACTCGCTCGTCCCCGACGCGTCGCCGCTCTCCGAGGTCCTCAACGCCGCGTGGGCCTACCACGAGTTCACGGACGCGTTCCTCGACGAGTCCCTCGACTGGCTCGACGAGAAGGCGACGAACCACGCGCTCCATCTCCGCGCGTAAGCAGCACTTGCCTTGTTCATCGGTACAACCATCCCGTCGGGTTGTGGGTATAAAAAAAGGCTTCAACGTTGTCTTCAAGAACGATGCTGAAGAGGCTGCCCGGCACGACGATGTTTCGTCCGCCGCCACCCGCGCGCTGGCCCTACGCCGTCGCCGCGGCCTGCGCGGTCGCCGCGCTTTTCGTTTACCGAGGCCCTTCACTCGCACCAACGGACACGCCGGCGACGGCGGCGCTCCGCGAGTTCCTCGTGTCCTCCTGCGACCTAGACGCCGCCGACGACGCGCCGCCGCTCCTCGCCATGCTCGCCGCCGCCGGCGTCGACGCCGTCGAGGACCTCGCGGACCTGGACGACGACGACGTCGCCAGAGGGCTCGACGGCCAGCGGTCGCTGACGACCGTGCGGAAGAAGAAGCTCCGGCGGAAGCTCGTCGCCTGCGTCGACGCCAAGGTGCGGCCGGGCCGGCCCGCGGCGTCCTTCGCCGACGAGCTGTGGGCCATGGCGCGGGGCGTCGCCAAGAAGCACGCGGCCAAGTTCCTCGGCACGCTCGCGACGCTCGCGATCGCGTCGTTGCGGCGGCGCGCGGGCGACGTCGCCGACGCGCCGCCAGCGACGCCCGACGACGCGCCCGCGGCGCAGACTAAAGCGAATTAGGGGCTCCGCAGACTAAAGCGAATTAGGGGAGCGCACCCTCGGCCGCGAGCTTCGCCATGAGGTCGTCGAGCCGCGCCTTCCAGTTCGACCCGAAGTTCATCTGGGCCCGGAGGTCGTTGAAGGACACGTCCGTCTCGCTCGCCGGGTCGTCGGAGACCCAGAGGAACTCCGACGGGTCCGCCTTGGTCTGGGGCATGGCCTCGCCGTGGATGGGCGCGTCGAGGAAGGGCGCGAGGTAGACCGGGTCGCCCGAGCCGCGCGGCTCGCCCCAGTTGCCCGCGGCGTAGGTGACGCCGTTCTGGAAGATGGTGTAGGGCCGGTCCATGAAGCCCGTGTGGGCGCCGCCGACGAGGGCGTTGTACTCGTCCGCGACGGCCTTGCGCATCGCGTCGACGACGTCCGCGTAGTCCGGGTCGGCGATGAGGTTCGTCGACTCCGAGGGGTCGTCGACGATGTCGAAGAGGTAGCTCTCGCCGAGCCACGTCGACTCGCAGGTGTTCGTGCCCGTGCGGAGGCGCGGGTCCGAGACCGCGCAGTAGCCGCTGTTCATGACGACCTTGTACGTCGCGTCGCGGTACGCGAGCGTGATCGAGTTCGCCGCGCGGCCCCGGCCGCCCTCCTCGGGGCTGCCCGAGTCGTGGGGGCCGTTGTAGCCCGTGAGGTAGAAGACGGAGTCGCGCACCGTGGCTCCCGCGTTCGGCGCGAAGAAGAGGTCGTCGCTGAGGTCCAACCCGTAGAGGTCGCGCGGCAGCTCCGCCGCGCCGAGGAGCCCCCCCAGCACCGTCGGCATGACGTCGGAGATGTGGAACAGCGAGGCGTAGGTCGCCCCGAAGATCGAGGCATCCACGCCCGCGGCCTCGGCGAAGGCGTCGCCGAGCCAGAAGAAGGCCGGCGTGCGGCAGCCGCCCTCCCACGCCGTCGTCTTGTCGCCGCGGAACGGGTAGTTCGAGCCGCCGCCGGAGACGAGGGCGCCGTTGTCGCTCATGAAGAGGAAGACCGTGTTCGCCGTGCCCCCCTCGAGGAGCTCGTCGAAGTCGGCGAAGGTCGCCTGGATCGCGCGGTCGACGCGGAGCAGCGCGCCCGCGAGCTCCTGCCGCTCGACGATGGTCGTGTTGTCCGTGAGCGGCGCCTGGCTCTCGGCGAGCTCCGCGTCCTGGTCGCCGGGGTTCGCGAACCAGGTCTCGGGCACGCCCACGGGGTTGTGGACGGCGTTGAAGTTGAGCTGGAGGTAGAGCCGCGACCGCGTCAGCGACTCGCACGCGGCCCGCGCGTCCGCCTGCCACATGTCCGTCGCGTACTTCCCGCCGTAGTCCGTCGGGTCCGGCTGGGCGTTCGACATCAAATCCACCAATGCTAGATTCTCGTAGGGCGAGGAGCAGACGACCTGGCTCGGGTCGCACGCCGTGTGCGCGAACCAGTCGCTGTACGCGGACGCGAGCATGCCGTGGTACGTGTCGAAGCCCCGGTTCGTCGGCAGGAACCCGTCGTAGGCGTGGCCCAGGTCCCATTTGCCCACGAGCACCTTGCCGTAGACGCCCGGGAAGTTCGCCTCCAGGACGGACGGCAGAATCTGCACGGACGTGTTCAGACCGCCGACCGCGTCCCAGTCCATGGTCGTGTCCATGCCCAGGGTCGTACTGTGCCGGCCCGTCATGAGCATGGACCGCGACGGCGTGCACTGGGCCGCCGTGTAGAACGTGTCCAAGTTCAGGCCCTCGGCGCGGAGCCGCGTGACGTACGGCATCGTCGCGTCGTTGAAGTCGACGCTGTTCCAGGGCGCGTCGCCGTAGCCCATGTCGTCGACGACGGCGATGAGCAGGTGGGGCTGCGTCGCGCCGTCGCTCCTTGGTTTTTCCTGCGGCGCGGCGGCGCGCAGGGCCGCCGCCGGCGCCGCCGCCGGGCTGCCCCGCTGGGCGACGAAGCCGACGGCCGAGCACAGGAGGAGACCGCCGAGGGTCCAGCCGTAGGCCGCCTCCCGCCTGCGCGGGTCGTTGGCGGCGTCGCCGCGCGACGCGACGGCCCCGTAGGAGGTCATCGTCGGGCTTTGCTCGACGAGAAGGCTCCGAAACTTGGATATTCGATGCCGTGCTGCAAATCGGCGCGTTGACGTTTGCCGCGGCTCCTCAACTCGTCTCCGGCGAGCGCATCGATCAGCTGAGCTCCCGTCTGTGGAACTCGCGAGAGACGTCTTCAAACCTGTATATGCTAACCCCCGTACACCAGGTCCGTCCGCCCGCGCCGCCCCTCGCGCGCATCGCCGCCGACGCCCCGCGATCGCAGGACACGGTGGAAGCTCTGGCGCGCACGCTGGAACACTCTCGAGATGGCTGCCATTATGAACATCGCTGGTTTGGAACCCATCGAGGACCCAGAATACCGCTACAAGATGCATCGCATCATCGGCAAGGCGCCGCGCCGCGTCCGCGAAGACGCGCGCACCGCCCCCGGGGCGCCCCGCGCGCGCGCGCGCGGAACGCCGGAGAAACCGCAATGGCAGGTCGAGGGCCGGGGCAACGGGATTAAGACGGTGATCCCGAACATGACCCTCGTGGCGCAGACGCTCCACCGCCCCCCGGGCGAGGTCACGAAGTTCTTCGGCTGCGAGCTCGGCGCGCAGACGACGTGGAACGACGACACGGAGCGCTCGATCGTCAACGGCGCGCACGAGACCAAGGTCCTCCAGGACAAGCTGAGCATCTACATCGAGAAGTTCGTGCTCTGCCCGTCCTGCAAGCTCCCGGAGACGTCCTACAAGATCAAGCACGAGATCATCTACCACCAGTGCGTCGCGTGCGGCGCGCGCGAGGCCGTCGACATGCAGCACAAGCTCTGCACGTTCATCCTCAAGCAGCACAAGCTCGACAAGAAGGCCAAGGACAAGTCCAAGGACAAGAAGGACAAGAAGAAGGACAAGAAGGACAAGAAGGACGACGACGACGGCGACGACGAGGAGAAGGCGCGCAAGAAGGCCGAGAAGAAGGCGAAGAAGGCGGCCAAGGAGAACGAGACCGACGAGGAGAAGGCGAAGCGCAAGGCCGAGAAGAAGGCCAAGAAGGCCGCGGAGAAGGCGGCCAAGGAGGCCGGCGGCGGCGGCTCCGACGACGACGACGACGACGACGACGACGACGACGACGACGAGTCGGGCGCGATGGAGTCGGCCGTCAAGGGCATCCGCGACTACATCGCGGGCGGCAAGCAGCCCTCCGAGGTCGTCTCGGAGCTCCGCGCGGTCCAGACCTTCTGCGCCCTGCCCCGCAGCGAGCGCGGCTTCATCCTCGCCGCCGCGGCCTTCGACGACGGCCTCCTCGAGCAGCTCGACGGCAAGGCGGACCTGCTCCGCGCGTTCGTCAAGGACGCGGGCGCGCCGTCGCTCCTCGGCGGCCTCGAGAAGTTCGCCCTCGTCTCTTCGCCGGCCCTCGCGCCCAAGTTCGCCCTCGTCCTCAAGCAGCTCTACGACAGCGACGTCCTCGAGGAAGACGCGCTCGTCGCGTGGCACGACGCGGGCGCCGCGCCGCCGGACGCGGCGATCCACGTCCCCGACGCCTGCGACGTCGAGAGCCGCGCCAAGCTCCTCGCCTTCGCCGAACCCTTCATCACCTGGCTCAAGGAGGCCGAGGAGGACGAGACGGACGAGGACTAGCGCGCGACGGACGATCCCGCGCGGCCGGCGCGAAGGACCGGCCCGCGCACGAGCTCGGCGCACCCCGCCGTTGTCGAGGCCAAGGGGCGCGCGTAACCGGGCCTGCACCTGTCTCTCTTTCACCGGCGATTTGAGGCATGTTGAAGGTTCAACTTGCGGCAACTTGCGGAGGGCTCTCGGGTTGAACTTTTGAGGTGAGAGCGGCGCCGTCGACACCAACGCGCAGCAGCCGCGCGCGCAGCCGTTGAAGACTCGTGAGAGCGCCGAGCTCATCCTCGACGCCTTCGACGCCAGCGCGCAGCAGCCGCGCGCGCAGCCACGCTCGCGTTCGAGAGGCCGCGCCACTCATGCTCGCCGCCGCGTTGCTCCGCCGGTCGCTGCGGCCAGCGGCGACGCGGTCCCTGAGCGCCGCGCCGACGCTCGTGCCGCGCTGGCTGCTCTTCTACGACTACGTGCCCGACGTCCTCGAGAAGCGCCAGCCGCACCGCGCCGGCCACATCGCGCTCGTCAAAGAGTACGTCGACCGCGGCGACTGCCTCCTGGGCGGCGCCTTCGCGGACCCCGTCGACGGCGCGGTCATCGTCTTCAGCACCGAGGCCGCGGCGAACGGCTTCGCGGAGGCGGACCCCTACGTCGCCAACGGCATCGTGACGTCCTCCAAGGTCCGCGAGTGGAGCACGGTCGAATTTTAAAAGAAGCGGAAGTAGACGTAGGTCGCGAGCGCGAGGCCGACGACCGCGCGCGTCGCCGGGCGGCGGCACGTGTCGCCGAAGTGCGCGATGTAGTCGTCCTGGGTCCAGACCTTGGGCGGCCGGGGCTTGCCCGCGGCGCACTCGTAGCGGTGGCCGTGGATCCAGGCCGCCTTCTGGCAGAAGGAGCCGCAGAAGTGGGCCTCCTGGCAGCCCGAGCAGCGCTTGAGCCGCGAGCCGTCCGCGCGGCGGTAGGCGCCGCAGTTGAGGCACCGCGGCGCGTCCGGGTCGATGGGCTCGGGCTCCGGGCAGACCTCGGGCGGCGGCGGCGGCGGCCCGGCGATCGCGTCGCCCTCCTCGACGGACGCGGCGTCGAGTTTCGCGGGCTCGGGGCAGACGCGCCGCTCGTAGAAGCGCTCGTCGTCGAGCGGGTTCCGCTTCTTCGGGTCCTTGGCCTCCTTGGCGGGATCCCTCGGCTCGTCCTCGCCCGGGTTCGGCACCTTGGGCGTCTTCCCGAGGCGGCGGAAGAGGCGGTCGCGCGCGCGCGCGAGCTTGAAGGCCGTGGGCTCGCGGACGGCGTCGTCGTCCCAGTTCGCCGCGTCGCGCATGTCCTCGAGGATCTCGAGCATCTTCTCTCGGTTCCGGCCGCCGGGCGCGCCGCCCGGGTGGTAGCTCCGGAGGAACGCGGCGTAGTCCGCGGTGCCCTTGCCGCCGTCCTTCCTGCGCCCCGGCGTGTGCTCGGCCATGGGGTCGTCGGGGATGCCCGCGCCGTCCTCGGGCGGGCACGCGTTTTCGCCGCCGAGCACGTCGGGCACGTCGTAGGCCGCGTCCTCGGGCTTCTCGCCGGACACGCAGAAGAGCTCGTCGAGCACGAGCTCGTGGTCCCAGGCGCAGTCGAGGTCGTAGAGGTAGCGCAGGCGCTGGCCCGTCGTCTTGACGAGCTCGCAGAGCCGCGTCCGCGCCGCGTCGAGGTGGTAGAACCCGTGCGCGTCGACGTGCTTGAAGTCGTCGAAGCCGGAGCTGTCGCCCGGCCCGAAGAGCGCGCCGTCCGTCGGGTCCGTGAAGTAGTAGCCGTGGCGCCGCCGGCTCCAGCCCAGCGCTGCGCCCAGGACCTCGTGGAGCTCCTCGAGCGTGCACCCACCCCTCACGCGGAGCCGCCGCCACGGCGTCGGCACGACGCGCACGGCGACGCGGATCGTGTAGACGGCGTCGAAGCGCGTCCGCGCGTCCCTCAACCCCGCGGCCAGCGCCTTCTCCTTCCTCGCCGCGAGCTTCTTCACGAACTGGATCTCGGGCGTGTCGCCGTCGGCGTACAAGGAAAAGTTCGTCTGCAGCTTGCGCATCATCCAGTCCTGGGTGACCTCGAGCTCGCGGCTCGGCAGGCCCCAGCGCAGGAAGTCCGACGGCTCCCCGGGCTCGCGGCAGGGCTCGAAGGCCGTCGGGTCGGAAAGGAAGAGCTTCGGCAGGCCCGCGAGCTTGTCGTTGTCGTGGAACTTGAGGAAGTGGCGCGACGTCCGCCGCGGGCTCAGGTCGAAGGCGCCGCTCTCCGGCTCCGCGGCGCCGTCGTCGGGGTCCGGGTCCGGGGGCAGCAGCTTCGGCGGCGCCCGGCCGCACGCCTCGCGGTGCCCCTTGACCCACGCGAGCCGCTGGCACCGGGCCGAGCAGTAGGCGACGACCTTGCACTTCGAGCAGCGCACGCGCGCGACCTTGCTGCAGAGCTCGTAGCCGCAGTACTCCAGGTCCTCGTCGGCGAGCTTCGCGCGCGGCCGCCGCGGCGCCGCGGGCCGCGCCGGCGCCTCCGAGACGGTGTACTCCAGGTCGTCGTCGTCGGGCTCGACCTTCTCCGGCCGCTCGATGGGCATCGTCGTCGAGAAGCTCATGACCTCCTTGCCCGCCATGGTTGCCAGGACTCGAGAAACTAGTGGACCATGCGGGGCTGCCTCGATCGACTTCGACGGATTAGGATCGTCAACATCCCAGCACGACGCCACGCAGCGCTCGCCGAGGTGAGCCGAGATTAGCGGCCCCTCTTGAACATATGAACATATATGAACATACTCTTGAACGCGACGACTCGCCACAATGTTCACCCGGCTGCTCGTCGCGTTGTCGGTGGTCGTGGCGCAGCGGCATCCGCTCGGACGCGAGGTCGACGAACGGTTGGCGCGGCAGCGCCCTCGAGGCCGCGAAGACATGCCAAGTTTCGAAGAAGTCATGGAGAGGTGTAAGAACGGGGGCTCCGACGACGGGCACCGCGACCGCTTCGATCACCGCTTCATGATGATGCGCCACGGAAGGCGCGGAATCGGCGGGAAAGGCCTCCAGCTCCACGGCGAGCGCAACAGCGGGACGAACTACTTCGAGAAGCTCTGCCACGCGAACACGTGCGGCGCGTGCGAAACGGGCTCCAAGCACAACATGGCGGAGCCGCGCTCCCATCGCTTCGGCGGGGGTTCGACGCTGCACGTCGTCATCACGCGGAACGCCGTCGACTGGCTTTTGTCGATGTGGCGGTACCCCGTCCACTGCGGCCACCACTGCGACCTCCCGACGTTCTACGCGTTCATCTCGACCGAGTGGGGCCCGCCGCCCGACGGGTCCAAGTCCTGGGCCGGTCCCGGCGTCAAGCCGAGCTGCAGGGGCTTCGCGCACTACAAGCAGACGGACGGCACCTACCCGCGCGACCTCCTCGAGCACCGGAGCCGCTGGGTCCGGAGCTACCGCGCCGCCGCGGGCGCGCGCGGCCGCGAGTTGGCGGCGAGCGACTGGCTCTGGGTGCGGCACGAGGACCTGTCCGCCGACGGCGGCATGGGCTTCGCGCCGATTTTCCAGAAGCTCTTCGACGCGGGGCTCCTCGTGCCGAGCGCGCGGTTCCCCGAAGGGATGCGGGGGACGACGAGCCGCTCGCAGGTCGACGCGAAGGCCATGGCGAGCCACTCGGCCTACGTCAAGCTCACGGCGGGCATCTGGCCCCGGTTCACGGAGGCCCAGTTCGAGCACCGCCGGGGCATGATCCAAAAGGAGACGTTCGAGCGGTACGGCCTCGCGCCGACGTTTGACCAAAAAGTCCTCGCGCACATCCAGACCGCCGTCGACGCCGCGCTCGAGGCCGAGCTCGGCTACGACTACGCCTTCCCGAACCTAAAGTAGGGTCACGTTACGTCGCGACGACGGCGCCGGTCCCGGCGACGGCGAAGACGTCGGGGAGCCCCGCCGCGTCGAGATCCGCGGCGGACAAGCCCGGCAGGGCGCCGGGCGCCGCGGCCGCGGCGAGGAGCGAGCCGCCGACCCAGGCCGCGTCGCAGCGCGGGAAGGGCGAGTAGGCGACGGCGAAGTCGAGGCGCCCGTCGAGCGCGCGGAGCTCGTCGAGCAACCGCGCGTCGAAGCCCGGCAGCGCCGCGCCGCCGCCGACGGGCAGCACGTTCGCCGCGAGGGGCGCGCGCAGCTCGAGGGCCGCGCGGCCGAGGCAGTCCAGCACCAGGGCGCCGAGGCCGGCCTCCTCCGATGCCGCGTCCGCGTCGAAGAGCGCGTCCGCGGCCGCCCGCCGCGCGGCCCAGGGCGCCGCGCCCGCGCCGTCGCGGAAGGCGAGCGCCGGGCCCGGCGCGTCCGCGCCGTTTCGGCGCCGCGCGAAGCAGGCGCGCGCGGCCAGATCCGCGCGGGCCGCCGCCGCGCCCGTCGCGCCCAGGTCGCCGAGCCGCGCCGCGACGGCGTCCGCGCCGACGCGCGCGACGACGAGCGTGTGCGCGAGGAGGCGCCCGCGGACGACGGCGACGGCCCGGCTCTCGCGCGCGCCCACGTCCACCACGAGCGCCGTCTGGCTCGCCGCCGCCGCCGCCAGGCCGGGGCAGAACGCGACGGACCGCGCGCCCGCGAGGAAAACGCCGTCGACGAGCGCCTCGCGGAGCTCGCGCGGCGCCGTCGGGTTCTCGAGGAGCAGCGCGACGCCCCGCGGGCCGAGGAGGCCCCGCGCGAAGACGTCGCCGAGGCACGCGTCGAGCGCGCCGCGCCAGGCGTCGCGGCCGAGGCTCGCGGCGTCGCCCAGGGCGCCCAGCGGCGAGTCGCAGACGCAGCGCGGTGCCGCCTCGCCGGCGAAGCCCGCGCGCACGTATCTGGACCCGATCTCGAGCACGACGGCCGGCTTCGCAGTGGTTGACATTGGTGGTTGCGGAGCTTTTAAAATCACGACTCCATAAGCTCCTTTTCAGCTGTTGAATTCATTGAAGGGCAACGAGCCGTCCGAAGTGCCGTCCGGGGAAGCCGAATCCCGAGAGCAGTACAAGCTTTACTCGGGCTTGGCCGCGCGCGCGGAGGTCGGCGGGGGCGCGAGGACGAAGCGCGTCGACTTCGTGCCGGAGAGGCCGAGGCCGCTCGGCCGCTCGCGCGCGCCCGGCTTGCCCGGCTGGGACCGGCTCCGGCCGCGCGGCCGCGAGAGGGACACGCGGCCGACGAGCGTGCCCCGCGCGTGGCCGCTGAGGCTCAGGGGCGCGCGGAAGTCGGCCTCGCAGGGCGGCGGGCCCTCCGGCAGGGGCACGAGCGCGAAGGCGCAGCAGCGGTGGTCGCCCGGCCCCGCGCCGTCGTCGCCGCCGCCGCCCTCGCGCGTGTCGAGGGACACGAGGCAGTGGCGCGGGAAGATGCGCACGTCGTCGCCGTCCAGCCGGCAGGGCACGCGGTCCGCGCGGAGCTTGACCGCGCGCCGGTCCCAGGGCTCGCGCGCGGCGTCGCCCTCGGCCCGCTTCCGGTCCGCGAACGCCGTGGATTCGCCGTCGCCGAAGAGGTCGCGCTGCTCGAGGGCCGCGGAGACGGCCGCCTCGTGGCGCCGCGCCGCGTGGACGTCCTCCACGGGCAGCGGGAAGAAGAGGGACGCGCGGTCGATGTCGTCCTTGCCGCCGTCGACCGCGACGAGCTGCTTCACGGACCGCTGCTCCGTCTCGCCGAGGCTACTCAGCGCCGAGCTCGCGCCGCTGTGGCTCCCAAAGGGCGGCGACGCGCCGCCCGGGAGCGGCGTGTCCGACGTGCAGAAGGTCGGCGTGCCGTCGGACGTGAGGTCGTCGATGAGCTTGTCGAACGACGACAGCGACGAGAACCCCTCGACCCGTAAATTGTCGAGCGCGACCGTGACGTCGACGGCGTCGCAGCGGTCCTGCGCCGCCTTCTCCAGCAGGTCGACGCGCGCCGGGTCCGCCCTCAAGACGCAGGCGAGGCGCACGGGGTGGTGGTCGCTGCGGCCCGGGAGCTCGACGGAGTCGTACGCGCCGACGTCGAGATCCGCCTTCGCGCGCGGCAGGCTGTGGACGAGCACGCGGTCCGTCCAGGACGGCGACCGGAGCCCCGCGACGGCCGCCGCCGCCGCGGCGGCGTCCGCCAGCGCGTTCGGGTGGTCCGGCGGGTGCGTCGAGAGGCGCTGCCGCGCGCGCGCCAGCGCGGACTCGAGCGTCGCGGGCTCGCGGGCCCCGTCCTTGCCCGGCTTCGACTCGTCCTTGAAGAGCGTGTACGCCTCGCACAGCGCGTCGGCCCCGGGCGCCGCCGACGCGTCGACGACGCCCACGGGCCCCATCTTCCGCCGGAACGTCGGCGCGAACCTCAGCGGCGGCTCGTCAAAGCTCGCGAAGACGCGGCCCGCGCGCCGCTCGCGGCCGAGCTCGTCGTTGATAACCGCCCGGTCCCAGGCCCGCTCCGCACCGTCCCGATCCCCGGACGCCTCGGCGGCGAGCGCCTCGGCGACGCGGCCGAGCGTGTTCCTCCGCGCGTGCTCGAGGGACGGCGGCACGGACCGGTAGTTCAGGTCCCCGAGGAAGAACGCGTGCGTGCACGCCGCGAGGTGCGCCCCGGCGTAGGTGAAGCCGCCGTCGATCATGAAGCCCATCTGCTCGCCGGCGGACTTGAGGGACGCGCCCGCGCACGCGTTGCGGAGCTCGCGGCGCGCGTGGCCGCTCGCGTCCGCGGGGAGGTGCGCGCAGAGGAACGCGCAGTGCGCGTCGCCGACGCGGACGCGCAGCCCCGCGCAGCCCTTGTTCGCCGACCGCCCGACGACGCCCAGGTTCGTCCCCAGGGGCACGTGGGCCGCCGCGCGCTCGCAGGCCGCGCAGTCGTCGTGGAACTTGTCGTCCGGCGGCGCCTCCGCGAGCCGGTCGTCGCCGAGGCGCACGTAGCCGCCCTCGACGTCCGCGCGCCGCGCGAAGACCGCGACGCCGATGTGGCCCTTGATGCGCCGCGACCCGATGGACGTGAAGGCGAGCTGCACGTAGGGGCCCGGCGTTTCCGGTAGCGGCGCGCGGCCGCCCGACGACGACGCGCTCCGGGCCCGCTCCTTGCCCGGCTCGTCGCCGTCGCCGACGCCGTCGCCCTCGTCGGGGCCGTCGTTGAGCGCCTGGACGACGCCGCACCGGAGCTCGTCCCAGCACATGCACTCCTGGACGGCGACGGCGTAGACGTCGCGGCCCCGCGGGAGCCAGCGCTTCAGCGCGGCCAGGGTCTCCGCGTCCGCGACGTAGCGCTGGGACCCGTGCGTCTTCGCCCGGGGCCGTAACCCCGCCTTCTCGACGACGGACGTCGCGCCGGACAGCGACGCCGAGACGACGGACGACGCCGCGTTGCCCAGCGCGCCCGCGACGTCGCCGAGGTCCAGACCCGGCGCGGCCGCCGCGCGGACGGACTTCTCCTCGGCCGGCTCGCCGACCAGCAGCTCCCGGAGCGTCTTCGCCTCGGCGCAGTTCATCGTCGTCGCGACGAGGGACCGCTCCAAGACGGGCGCCGCGGGCGCGTCGCCGCCCGGCAGCGCGCGGCGCATGAAGAGGTCCAGGTCCGTGACGGCCTCGGCGCCGCGCCCCGCGGAGAACGCGAAGCCGTCCACCGACGACGCCTCGCTGAGGCCCGGCGTCGACGCGACGAGGGACGCCGTCGACATGTCCTGGCCGTCGCGGCTCCAGCGCACGCTCGACGCCGCGCGGCGCAGCGAATTCCGCAGCTCCGCCGCGGCTTCGTCGGACGCCGCGGAGAGCCGGCCCGCGCGGAAGCGCCCCCGCTCCAGGAAGGCGTCGGACGCCACCGTGAGCATGCAGTGGAAGGACCCGGCCAACGATAGGATGGCGGAGTTGGCCAGCGTCATCCAGAAGGGCGGCAGCATGGGCGACAGCACGCGGCCGCGCGTGAACGCCCACCAGATCGAGCTCGACACGTAGAAGATCCACGTCGCGAGGAAGAGGCGCCCGAAGAGGAACTGGCGGTACGTCGACGTCGTCGACATGGCGCCCAGCCCGCTCTCGCCCGCGGGCCCGCGCTCCTCGTCCGTGCCCGCCGCGTGCGCCGCGTGCCGCGCGGCGGCGCGCGACACGAGCGCGCCCGCGTAGCCTCCGTGCGCGAACGCCAGGGCCCAGAGCAGCACGAGGGGCACCTGGAAGTAGACGAGCGTCCGCGGCAGGTCCACGCAGACGTGCAGATGCCGCGACCGCAGCCCCAGCGCCACCGCGCACGCCGCGTAGCACAGCGGCGGCAGCACCGTCGCCGCGCGGCGCAGCCGCTTCGCGACGTCGCCCAACGGCCGCCGCCGGTGGACGATGAGGAGCGTGAGCCGCGGCGCGACGAAGCCGCTGAAGATGATCGTCGTCAGCAGCGACCCGGCCAGGAGCACGGCCGTCGGGTTGCAGACCTTGTCGTGGTGCCGGCTCAGGGGCACGTGCGCGACGACCGTGAGGCTGAGGAGCCAGTAGCTCAGCGACGTGAAGGCGTTGAGGCGGAGGTAGATGGGCAGGCGCCGCTCGGCCTGCTCCGCGCGCCGCTTCGCCGAGGGCACCAGCGGGGCCAGGGGCGACACGACGAGCCAGCAGACGTTGCCCCCCTTGCGCGCGATCTGGCCCAGGGTCACCGTCGTCAGGAGGAGCGACAGGCCCCCGCAGCAGACCACGGTGTAGCGGTACGTCGCCAGCTGCGCCGGGCTCATGCGGTCCATGGTCGGGACGCGGCGCGGGCAGCCCCCGCTCTTTTACAGGTACATCGCGCCCAACTTTTCACGGCAACGTTGCGACTCTTCTACGCCAACGTCTACCAGACGAGGACGTACTGCTGCGCGCGCGCGTGCTGGAGCCGCGCCTGGGCCTCGAGGACGAGGCCCGCGGCCTCGTGGGCCGGTCCGGACGCGGCCGCGGCGAGGGCCGCGAAGCCGCGGAGGTAGTTGTCGACGACCGTGAAGAAGCAGACGTCGCTGAGGAGCGCGCTGACGTCGCCGAGCGCCGGCCGGCGGCCGTGGAGGGCGGCGAGGTAGGCCTCGAGGAAGGCGCGGCGGTCGTCGAGGCCCGGCGGCTTCGCCGCGTCGGCGTTGGCGTAGTGGGCCAGGTCGAGCGCCGCGTAGTTCGGGCCCGCGCGCTCGAGGCCGCAGAACGCCGCGTCGAGGTCGTCGCCGCGGAGGAGGACGCGCTTCGCGGCGTCGTTGTGGCAGAAGGCGACGCGCGCGCCCGGCGGCGCGCGGCGCCGGAGCGTGAAGAGGCGCCGGTCGAGCTCGTCGCTGTCGAGGTCGAGGCCCGCGATCAGCGCGGCCGCGCCGTCCCAGCGCCGGGCGACGGCGCGCGCCGTCTCCGGCGCCCGCGCTGTGGCGAAGAGGTCGACGAGCCGGGGCCAGCAGCCGGGCTGCGACTTGGCGACGTCGAGGAGGTGCAGCGGCGGGCGGTACGCGTGGAACGCCGCGAATTTCGCCGCGACGGAGTCGGCCCAGGGCGCCGCGGGCGGGAAGGGCGCCTTGAGCGGCCCGTGGTAGACGAGCCAGGCCTCGAGCTGGCCGTTGGCGAAGCGGCCGAGGCACGCGGGGCCGAGCGCGGCGCCCGCGTCGCAGCGGACCTCGAAGCGGAGCCGCGGCGCGGCCGGCTCGCGGAAGACGCGCACGAAGGCGTGCTCGGCCTCCGTGAATGCGCCCCACTTGACGTAGCGCTGCGTCGAGCCGTTGGCGAACTGGACGACGAAGTTGTCGACGGCCGCCGTGCCGGGGATGAGCGCCTTGACGGCGGCGATCGCGCTGGCGTCGTCGTCCGTGACCACGAGCTCCAGCGACTGCGGCGGCAGCGCCTGGATCTCGCGCGGCGTCTGCGCGCCGAAGAGCGCCATGGCGCTTTGATCAAGGGTGGCTGCGGGGGCTGCGTCGAAGTCGTTCAAACATAGGCTGCCCCGCGCGCTTCAATAACTCTTCAACTACAACTTCTCGGCTGCCCGATGGTTCTCGGTAGCCCGATGGTGCGCTCCGAGGCTCTGCGTGTGATCTTCTCGCTCGTGCTCCTCGTCGCCGCGGGCGCGACGGCGCGAAGCGTCACGCTGAGCGTCGGGCCCGCGCCGGCCCGGAACGCGTCGCGGTGGTGGGACGTGTCGCCTCGACCTTCCAACGACGGCATGGAGCTGATCAAGGCAAACTCGCACGTCGCCAAGTCCCTGCCGCGGCCGTGGACGTCGAAGTGCGAGAAGACGGCGCTCCTGACGTCGGCCATCGCCGTCGTGCGATTGCTGGGCGGCTGGAAGGACGACGAGGGGAGCGAGAAGAAGGACCTCGCGCAGGGCGCCTGCGACGGGCTCACGAACGCTTCACTTTTATACGAGCGGCTCGACGCCGTCGTCGACGCGTGCCTCACGCCCATCGTCGTCCTGGACAACACGCCGTGGTGCTTCTCGAACACGACGAAGAAGTCGTTCTACGGCAACGGCGACGCGCCGCGGGACATGAAATCGTACTCCGAATTCCTCGACGAGATCTTCGAGGCGATCCTGGCGCGCTACGGCGACGAGGCGAAGCGGTGGTACTATCGCGTCGGCACGGAGCCGAACTACGGCGGCCACTGGACTGCCGGGTTCGACGCGGCGTCCGGAGAACGCTGGCGCGATCCTCCGACAATCTCGCAACTTAGGTTCGACGCGTACGCGGAGGTCTACGACGCCGTCGTCGCGGGCGTGCGCAAAACGCTCGGCGGCGCGCGCGTCGGACCCGGGAACATGCCGAACGGCATGAACGCCACCTTCGCGAAGCTCGTCGCGGAACATACCGCCGCGACGGACGGCCAGGTCATGGCCTTGAGTTATTACGCGAGCGGCGCCAACGGCTATTCGACGGAGAGCGCGCACCGGGCCATGGCCTGGCTCAAGAACGAGCGCGACGCCGCCTTCGGGAATTTTTCGACGCCGCCGGCGCTCCACGCGGCGGAATTCGGCACGCTGCAGCCGCCGCGCAGCTCCGAGGCCAGCCCCGAGCCCGGCGCCTTCGGGGCCGCCTTCACGGCGAGCGCCTGGATCGTCGGGTTGATGCTCTCCTACGACAAGCTCTACCACTGGACCGCGTGGGACGCGACGTCGAGGACGCCACGCTCCTGTACGGATGGACCGTGGGCATGGCCTTCGCGGAGCTGCTCTTCGAGGACGGCGCCGCGGACGCGCGGCCCGCGACGTTCCTCGACTCGTCCATGCCCATGGAGCTCAAGGACGCGAAGGCGAGCCGCAACGCGACGTCGGTCGCCGGCGTCGCGACGACGACGTCCGCGGGGCTCTCGGTCCTGGTCACCGCCTACGACCCCACGGTCTACGTGGGCGACGAGGCCGTCGACGCGACGCTCGTCGTGCCCGCGACCGGTGCCGTTTCATCGTACTACTGCCTCCACTCGGGCAATTCCGTGTACGACAAAATATGGGCCGACCTCAACGCGATGGGCGGCCTCGCGCGGACCGACGGGCACACCTACAAGCTCAAGCACATGGCCAACGACCAGGGGATGGCGATGATCAAAGCGAACGTCTCGAGCTACGTCGCACTCCAGGACGACTCCCTCAGGACGAGCCCCTTCCCGGGGACCGTCTCGCGGCTCAACGGCACGCACGCGACGCTCACCTGGAAAGTGCGCGTGCCGTCCGTCACGCTCGTCCAGATAAGCTAGGTTAGGCCTGCTTCGCGCGCTTCGCGCTCGGCGCGCCGTCGTCGTCGTCCTGGTCGTCGTCGAAGTCGTCGACGCCCGGGGCGTCGTCGCTAAACTCCCCCTGGTCGTCGTCGTCGCCGCTCACGTCGCCCTGGTCCTCGTCGTCGCCGCTCACGTCGCCGTGGTCGTCGTCGCCGCTCACGTCGCCGTGGTCCTCGTCGTCCATGACGATGAAGCCGTCGTCCTCGTCGTAGCGGTCCTCGTCGTCGTCCGACGCGTCGGACTCGTCGTCGTCCTCGTCGAAGTCGTCGAGCGTGCGCTTGACGGCGATGCGGAGCTCGAGGCCCGCGTCCTCGTCGCAGATTTCGAGCACGACCCACTCCGGGTCGTCGTCGCCGTCGCCCGGCCGCACGTCGACGCCCGGGAAGGCGCACTCGCCGCGCTCGAGCGCGGCGGCCGCGGGCTCGCGGAAGCCGACGGCGATGCTCACGTCGCGCGCGCCGTGGTCGTCGGCGACGAGCACGTCGTCCTCCTCGGTCCGCAGCACCCAGGGGAAGCCGCCGTCCGCGTCCTCGTCGTCCTCCATCCGCAGCACGGCGACGGACAGCTCGAGGGGCGTCGGCGCCTCGAGGGCCGCGTCCAGCGCGTCCGCCGAGAGCCGCGCGCCGAGGCAGACGCGCATGCCGCCGTCGAGCTCCGCGTCGCGGCCCTCGCGCCGCACGTTCCGCGTCGCCACGACGACCCGCCGGCCGAAGCCCGGGACCCGCGCCCAGCCCAGCGGCGGCGGCGCCGCGCTCGCGGCGACGAGCGCGCGGCCCACGCCGCCGTCGTCGACGGCGCCGCGGCCGGCCTCGTCGCGCTCCGCCCTCAACGCGTCGTCGCGCTCCTCCCTCGTCATCACGGCGCGCGCGGCGTTGCCGAGCGCGACGCACGTCGGCGCCTCCTCGTCCTCGCGCGCGCGGAACTTGCGCCGGCAGATGGGGCAGACCGCGCGCCGCGGGTAGCTGCCCACCAGCAGGCTCCGGCAGCAGGACCGGCAGAGCGCGTGGCCGCAGCGCAGCGCGATCGGGTCGCGGAACACCTCGACGCACACGGGGCACGTCAGCTCCTCGCGGACGACCGCGAGCGCCCGCGACGCCGCCGCCTCCTCGTGCTCCTCCTCTTCCTCGTCGTCCTCGTCGTCGTCGCGGGGCCCGCGGTAGCGGCGGCCCAGCGCGCTCCGCTTCAGCGCCTCGACGCTCTCGTACTCGCGCTCGTCGACGTCGAACTCGGCCTCCGACGAGTAGTAGGACGCGCGGCGGCGGTCCTCGTCTTCGGCCTCGCCGTCGCGGTCCGCGTCTTCTTCGTCGTAATCGTCGCCGGCGTCGTCGCCGTCGCCGTCCGAATCGAACCGCGCGTCGCGCTCCGCCTCCTCGGCGACGCGCTGCGCGTGGCGGTAGGCCTGGAACGCCGACGTCGCGCGGGCGGACGTCTCGCCGTCGGACTCGTCGCGGTGCGCGCTCGCGCCGATGATCTGGACCGAGTCGTCGTCGTCGTCGTCGCCGCCGCCGTCGGACTCGTGGTACGCGCTCGCCGCCACGATCTCTTCGTCCTCCTCCTCGTCGCTGCCGTACATCGCAGCGCGGCGCGAACGGCGGCTTCGCGTGGTCTCAAAGCGGTGTCTCAGAGCGTGGACGAGAGGACCATAAGCTCGGGGAAAGGTCCACCGAAATGTTCACCTTGCAGCGGGCAGGACGCTGAGTGGACGCTGTCGTGAAGCAAAGCCACAGCGTTCTCAGAACAGAACCAGTTTTTAGTCGGGCGCAACATCACCGTCGTCGTCGTCGTCGGAGTCCGTGTCCCCGTAGGGCACGAGCGACGCGAGCGGGCCGCCGGCGGGCGAGGCGGGCGCGGGCGAATCGGACGCGGGCGAGCCGGGCACGGGCGTCGGCGGCCGGTCGCGGTAGCTCCGCGGCGGCCGGAGCCCCGCGTCGACGTCGGCCCGGGCGTCGTCGCGGCACCAAAAGTCCTGGAGCGGCGCCGTGGGCGGCGGCGGCGCGGCCTCGACGCCGCCCGCGCGGAGCTCGCAGGAGAGCACGCGGCCGTCGAAGGAGAGCCCGCGCATGGCCGCGACGCACTCGCCGGCGCTCAGGCTCGAGACGAAGTTGACGGCGATCTCGCGGGCCTCGGCGTCGCAGACCGCGCGCGCGACCGGCCCGAACCTCGAGCACTCGACGGCGACGGCGTCCGCGACGCGCGCGACGAAGTCCGCGCCCTCGTCGCCCGCGAAGGCGTTGCCGACGAGCACCGTGCGCGGCCGCAGGGGCGCCGCCGCCGGCGCGCCGTCGTCGCCGAAGAGCGGGCCGTCGCCCGGCTCCCGCAGAAAGTCCGCGCAGAGCCGGCGGCCGCCGACGTCGCGGCCGTGGAGCGCCTTGACGCAGGCCTCGGCGGCGTCGAGCTCGACGAAGACGCAGACGACGTCGCCGGACCGCGGCTCGACCTCGAGGCGCCGCGCGAAGCCGAAGCGCGCGCCCAAAGTCCGGAGCGCGACGTCCGCGCCCTCGTCGCGCGCGCCGGCGACGTAGGGGTTGGGCCGGCGCGCCCGCGCGTCGACGAAGCCCTCGACGTAGACCGCGCGCGACGCCGCGGACGTGTTCACCGGCGGCAGCGCCGGCGCCGGCGGCGGCGGCGGCGGCGCCTCGAGCTTCCGCCGCTTGCGCGCCGCCTCGACCTTCTCGCCGTAGGCCCGCTCGTCCATCCACGCGGGACGGTTCGACGGGCGCATCGCGAACAGTGGCGGCGCGCGCCAGCGGCAGCGGCGTGCGGGAGTCAAGGCTGCGCCTTGGCCAGACCCATTGCACGCTTGGCCAGTCCCTCAAGATGAAGCGGGGTTGCACACACGGTGCACAGGCTGCCCGAAGGTGAGCTCGTTTCTTGGGTCGGCGGTGGCCGCCTCGGGATGCAAGAGAGGTGGTCGATGCGGCCCTGAGCATAGCTTCGCAGCACAGCTTCGCGGCATGTCGCATTCGTGGATCGTCCCGGCCATCGTCGGCGGGTTCTCCGGTGCCCTGGGCTACATCGGTGAGGATCTCATGGGCTGGCTGAAGATCACGGCGCCGACGACGACGGACCCCGACGACGCCGTCGCGGAGGAGGCGCTGGAGGCGAACCACAGGCTCGCGCGCGGATTCGATTGATCGCGGCGGATTCGACCGTCGACGGTCATCACCGCCGGTCCGCCCGGCGCCGACTGGGCGGCCCCGGCGGATTCGACCGATACGCCGCGTACGCGCCGCCAGTCCGCCGACGGAGCGCCCCGGAGTCTGACGCCGAACGACGACGCGAATGGGGCGTCCCCGGACGCGCGGCCCTCCCGGCGCTTGTGTGTGTCTCGCGTCGCTTAGAGACCGCCCCAGGCGAAGGCGGGGAAGGCGTCGACGTCGTTGAGCTCGATCTGCGCGACGGCCTCGCCGTCCGGGCAGCCGTCGGGGGACAGGGGGCAGCTCTTGAGGACCGCGTTCGCGGAGAACGTGTAGACGTGGTCGCCGCGCTGCAAGACGCGGTCGATCTCGAGGCCCGACTGGGCCGCGGTCTTGGCGCGCTTCGACCAGGAGCCCGAGTAGGTCGAGCCCGAGCCCTCCTCGTAGACGTACTCGGACCACCAGTCGGCGTCGTCGTCGTCGGGCAGGTCGGGCACGTAGGCGTCGTCGTCCGGGCAGCCCCAGTTGCAGACCCACTCGGGCTCGAAGTAGCCGTCCGGGAGGTGCGTGACCTCCGCGAGGAGCTCGAGGCCCGCGCCCGCGGCGCCGAAGAGCGCCACCCCCTGGAAGACCGTGGGCGCGGGCCGCCAGACGTCGATGTCGTCGTCGTCGTCCTCCGCCTTCGCGAGCGGGAACGCGACGACCTTGTCGTCGGGCCAGCACTGGAACGCGTGGTGGTCGTCGAGCGCCGGCGACTGCGTGCCCCGGTCGCCGATGATGGCCACGCCGTCGCGCTCGGGCTTGAGCTCGTCGGAGACGTCGAAGAGCGACAGCTGCAGCCCCCGCTCGACGACCCAGCCCTCCTTGGTCAGCTCCGTGTCGCGGCCGAGGCCGATCAGGTGCGTCGCGTTGAGCTGGTGGAGGTACGCGGAGTAGCCCGGCACCTTGAGCTCCCCGAGGACTCTGGGCTCCGCGGGGTCGTCGAGCGCGATGACGAAGAGCGGGTCCGTCTCCACGAAGGTCACGAGGTAGAGCCGCGTCGCCGTGAAGCGCGCGGACTTGATGGACTCGCCGGGGGCTAGGCCGCCCACGGCGCCCACTGGCGCGCCGCCGGCGTCGAAGACGTAGACGCCGCTGGAGACGTCGCTGGTCCAGTCGTCGCCGTTGATCCGCGTCGTCGTCGCGACGCGGAAGTGGCCGTCGGCCTCGGACATGGAGAACTGGTTGAGCACGCGGCCCGGCGCCTTGAAGCGCGTCTCAAAGGCCACGTCCATGCCGTCGAGCGCGAATTTCGACACGAAGGTCGTGTACGCGGCGTCGCCCGTCTGCCAGCCGTTCCAGCGCACCTGCGTGAGGTAGAGCGCCGTCGTCGACGCGTAGACGGCGGAGTCGCTCTTCGTGGCCACGGTAGTCGCTGCCAGCTCCGCGGACCGCGCCTCCTCCGGCGACGCGTGCGTGAACGCTAACACCGTCGTGTAGTCGCCGATGTCGTCGCCGAGGCCCGACGCGAAGTAGAGCTCGTCGCAGGCGCAGACGGGCACCATGGGGCCGACCTCGCCCGCGTTTGTGTGGACGCTCTCGTTCTTGGACGCGACGCCGTCGCGGAGTTCGCCGCCGACGATTCGTTCGTCGCGGTAGAGCGGCACGACGGATCTGGGCGCCTCGCCCCAGCTCGGGGTCCGCGACACGACGACGTAGGACGTGGAGCCGACGCGCCGCGCGGCGACGGGCGAGCCCTCGTGGATCTGGCGCCGGAGGAGTTTGGGCGTTGTCGGGTCCGACACGTCGAAGAGGAGCACGACGGCGCCGGCGCGCCGGAGGTCCCACCACCACCAGTAGGGAGCCGACCAGTCGCCCCAGAAGGTGTCGGCGTCGTCGACGTACTCGAGCCACGTGCGCCCGTAGACGAGGAGCACGTCGCCGTCGACGAGCATGCCGTCGGGCTCCGTCACGAGGTCCCCGAACGGCACGGACCCGACGAGCCGCGGGCCCGCGCTGGCGTCCGAGTCGTCGAGCACGGAGAGCCGCCGCTCGCAGGGCGACCGGCCGGAGGCGTCCTCGTCGCCGACGACGGGCGCGGAGATGCGGTAGACGTAGTCGCCGACCGTCTTGATGACGTCTGGCTCCTCGACGCCGGCTTCCTGCGTGTTCGTCCCCGAGAAGTCGCCCCGGTCGCCGCCCGGCGCGGGCGCGGGCGCCGGCGCCGGCGCGCCGTTCTCGGGGGCGCCCACGGCCATGGCGCCGTCGGAGAACGCGCCGCCGTCCATCTCGAGCGCGTCGCCGCCGAAGCCCTCGTCCCAGAAGAAGCCGCCGCTCGACGACCAGACGGTGCACTCGCTCTCGGCGACGCGCTCGAGCTCGCGCGACGAGTCATCCTCGTCGAGGCGGCGGCGGTCGGGCAGGACGAACTCCTCGAAGCCCCCGCCGCCGGACGACTCGCCGAACCACTTCGCGTCGCGCGCGCCGGCGACGGCGTCGCACGACCGAAACGTGTCCAGCGCGAAGGGCGCGCACGTCGTCGCGCACGCCGCGACGGCGCCCTCCGTCGCGCAGCGCTTGGGCGTCTTCTTCTTCGCGACCCAGGCGCAGCCCCGCGTCTTCTTCTTGCCCTTCGCGCGCCACGACGCGTCGTCCTCGTTGAGGGCGACGACGGCGGCGACGCCCTGGCATTTTTTCGAGCACGTCGCCTTACACTTCTTCTTCGCCGCCGTTCCGTCCTCGTCTTCTTTCTTACACCGCTTCTCCGGCTTGTCCGCGACCCAGGCGCAGTCTTGTTTCTCGGATTTGGCCGCATGCCACTTTTTGTCTTTGCATTTCTTCGCCCCGACCGCGGGGCGCGCCACGACGATCACACAGGCCACCGCGGCGACCCAGAGCGTGTGGAGGCGTCGCATGGCGCGGTGGAGGGGGCGTGTGCGAGCGACGAAGAGCGACAGCTGGGAGGTGTCACTCAGGCGCTCCACAACTAAGTAACTTAGTTACTTGCAAGTTTTTCTGCCCGGGGTCCGCTGCCCGGCCACGTGTGACGCCTCGTGTGAGCCGACCGAGGCTCGACCGTCGCATGGCCGCCTCTCCCCGCCGTTCTCCCTCCCTTCGATTCCTCCCTGTGCCGCGGCTAACTGGCACGGCCGTCGGCCTCGGACGTCGTCGGCGCGCGTCCGCGGGCGATCGACTCCAAAAATAACCTTACCTCCGAGCACGCCTCACGCGTTCCCCGCCTTGGCCGCCTGCTTCGCCAGCCCCCGCAGGCTCTTCGTCACGGAGCCGTAGCAGACGAGCCTGTCGGTCCGCGCGCACCGCGCCTTGACGTCGACCGTCACCAAACGGCCGCCGCGCTTCGCCGCCGTCGCGGTCCACCGGAGGATCGCGCCGACCTTCGCCGGCGCCGCGTAGTGGACGTCGAGCGCCACGGCGACGCCGCACTCGTAGGCGTCGCCCATGGCGACGACGGCCGAGCCCAGGACGTCGACGAGCGACGCCGCGCAGCCGCCGTGGAGCGCGCCGAAGGAGTTGCCGTGGGCCTTGGTGACCTCCATGCCCCACTCGACGGGGTGGGCGTCGTCGACGTAGGGCTTCGTGAGCGTCAGCGCCCCGGCCAGGTGGCGGTCCCAGCCCTGGAACGCGTACGTGCCGTCGCCGAAGTGCGCGAAGTAGGCGCGCTTGCCCGCGTCGTCGCGGCCGAGGCCCGTGTCCGGCTCGACGGCCGTCTTTTCGAACGCCGCGGGTTTTGTCGACAGGTCGCGGCCGGCGACCTGGCCGCGGCGCAGGGCCAGGCGGAGGCAGGCCGTCGCGACGGCCGGCCGGAGCGCGAGCGCGGCGGCGGCGATCGCCGGCGCGGCGACGTGCTTCACGTGGCACGCGCGCGCCATGACCGCGCCGTCGCGCTCGCGCCGCAGCACGCACTCCGTGAAGGCGAGCGTGCGGCCGGCCCGGAGCACCGTCGCCTCCGCGAGGACGGCGTCGCCGGGGCCGCAGCCCGCGAGGTAGGTCGCGTCGAGGCTCACGGACGCGCCGGGGAAGCCGCCGCGGCCGACGAGCGCGACGGTCGTGGCCACGTCGACGAGGGACGCGATGGCGCCGCCGTGCATGGACGCGAGGAAGTTGCTCCGGCTCGCGTCGAGCGCCGTCCGCAGCACGACGCCGTCGCGCGAGACCCGCTCGACGGTCGTGCCCGCGCCGACGTTGTAGGCCGCGCCGCCGCGCGCGACGGCGAGCGTGGCCTCGGCCCACTCGCGCCGCGTCCTCTCGTCGAAGGTTGTTCTTGCGGGCCAGAGCCAGCCCGCGAATTCGACGACCGCGGCCGCGGCGGCCCAGGCGGCCCGGGGCTCGCCGCGGAGCAGCTTGAGCGCCGCGACGGCCGCGGCGCCGTGGCGACCCAGCAGGCGCGACGCCTTCGAGAGCGCATAGGAGCCGATGATGATCGATGCGACTTGCGCTGGCTTGGACGTCGCAAACGCTGCGGAGACGCAGTCGGAGAGGGCAGAGAGGGCCTCCATTCGGAGCGAGCGTCAACAAATTTTCTTGCAGCAGGCTTATCAGCCACGTCAAGCAGGATGGCCGCTCGAGTACGACACCGCTGCGTCCGCCAACACATTCCTGAGAGCCGATGCATCGCCCAAGAGCGCCGGTAAGCTGCCGAATCGTTCGAGAAGCGAAAAAAATGTGAGAGAACCGAAATCGAGAACGCCCTGGACAACAGCATCGGAGAGCCTGCGCAGAGACGCATAGCTCTGCAAGAAGTATCAAGACGCAAAAGAGCGCATCCCTATCGCGCGCAGAGATGCATCGATCGAAAGAGTACCAAAGGAATTCGCCGCAGGTCGCGCTGCTCCTCGCGGCGGGCGCGTCGGCGCTGAAGACGCCGTGCCCGCTCTACGCGCCGACGTCGCCGCGCGTCTGCACGCTCGCCATGGGCTGATTCTGGCACCCGCAGGGCTCCTTCGACGCCCTGGCGGGCGTCGAGAAGACCCTCGTGGGCTACACGGGCGGCGACGACTTCGAGCCGACGTACCAGCGCATCGGCGACCACACGGAGGCCATGCTCGTCGAGTTCGACGAGTCGCTCGCGTTCGAGGATTTGCTGGTCAAGTTCTGGGAGGAGCACACGCCCATGGTCGGGAGCCGCCAGTACCGATCAGCGGTGTTCTTCCACGACGACGCGCAGCGGGACGCCGCGGAGTCCATGAAGGCCGCGCTCATCGCCGACGGCAAGAAATGGGTCAAGAACACGGCCGTCGAGCCGGCCAAGGACTTCTGGCAGGCCGAGGAGTACCACCAAAAGTACCTCGCGAAGATGCTCACGCCGCGGTACTACTCCGGCGAGGACCGATACGCGTAGGGCGAGGACGCGTCACCGCCGTTCGCCCGCGCAGGTTCTACTAGGCCACCGACGTCGTCCGCCCCATGACGGTCGCGCGCGTCCGAAGCGCGCGACCCGACACACACGCGGACCATCGGGGACCCTAAGTGAGAGCCAGTCGGCGATCTTGGGGCGACCCCGACACACACGCGGATCAGACGTACGTTAGAGCCAGTCGGCGATGGCCGCCTCGACGTCCGCGAGCGTCGCGACGCGGCGGAAGCGGTCGTCGCCGTAGGCCGCGAGGCGCGCGAGCAGCTCCGGCTCGTCGGCCTCCGCGGCGAGCTTCGTGACGTGGACGGCGCGGCACCCGAAGTCGAGCGCCCCCAGGACGTCGTCGTGGAGCGAGTCGCCGACGTGGACGAGGGCCTCCGGCGCGCAGCCCGCCGCGTGGCACGCGGCCACGAAGGGCGGCGTCGCCGGCTTCGACGCGCCGACGTCCGACGCCGTGAGCCAAAAGTCCAGCGCGTCGCCGAGGCGGCCCGCGCGGCCCGCGTTGCCGTTGGTCAGCGCGCCCACGCGCAGCCCGCGCGCGCGCAGCGCGGCGACGACCGGCAGCGCGTCGGCCTCGAGGAACTCGTCCGTCGCGTCCGTGCGCCGCTGCACGAAGTCGGCGACGAGCGCGTCCGCGTCCTCGTCGGCGTCGCCGTGGTGCGCCGCGAGCGCGCGGAACGCGACGCGGCGCCGCGCCGTGATGTCGTGCTTCAGCTCGGCCTCGACGTCGAGCTTGGGCCGCGCGGCCTCGAAGGCGTCCATCTTCGCCTCGACGTCCGGCGCGAGCGCTTCGAAGGTCCTGGGCAGGTACTGCTCGCAGAGCTCGGGCCGCGCGTGGCGGATCTTCATGAGCGGCGGCAGCGTCGGCCAGAACGTGTTGTCGAGGTCGAAGGACACGGCCGTCGCGACGCCCGGCGGCCCCGCCGGCCCGGACCAGAGCGCGGCGAGGATCTTCGCCGTCGCGCCGCGCGCGCGCGCCTTGTCCCAGAAGGACGTGTCGACGACGCTGTCCGCGCGGGCCAGCCGGTCGCCGTCGTCGAGCTGGCGCGCCAGGATCGCGTCGAGCTTGCCCTCGGACATGCCCGGCCGCTTGAGCGCGCGGCGCCGCTGCTCCGCGGCGGAGCCGCAGGTCACGGCGAGCACGTGGTCGATGCCGCTCGCCCGGGCGCCGTCGCCGAGCGTCTCGAAGAGCAGCGGGATGTCGACGCCGACGAGCCACGCGCGCGCCGCGCGCGCGTCGGCGACGAAGGCCGTCCGGTCCGCGGCGACGAGCGGGTGCACGATGGCCTCCAGCGCTTGAAACGCCGCGCCGCGCTCCGCGTCGTCGAGCGCCTGGAGCAGCGCGGACAGCGCCGCGCGGTCGACGGCGCCCTCGGCCGAGATGACGCCCGCGCCGAAGCGGTCGCGGATCGCGGCGACCGCGGCGCCGCCGGACGCGTAGAGCCGGTGCACGGCCGCGTCGGCGTCGTGCACGGGCACGCCGTAGATGTCCCGCAGGAACGTCGTGCAGGTGCTCTTGCCCATGGCGATGCCGCCGGTGATGCCGACGCACTTTGTGAGCGCGGCGACCGTGCCGAACTGCGCCATCGTCGCGAGGAAGGACAGGCGCATGCGCGGCTGCAGCACGCGAACGACACCGGTGGGCCGGCGTCCACTCGCGCTGGCAACCCGCTCGCCGAATCGAACCGTGGAAACAACACACAGCTCGTTCGATCTTGTCGAGCTGCCGCCTCTCGTCAACGCGCCTCGCCGCGCCTCGCCTCTCGCCGTCGCGTCCCCGCCGTAACCGGCCGTCATATCCGCTATTAATTATGCCGTCTTCGCCAGGGCGCTGGTCGCCGGCGAAGTTCGAGACGATCCCTAACTCTCCCAAAACTCCAAGTCGAGCGGAGCGCGCGCCGTCGCCCACGAACGAGCCGGAAAACACCTTCATCGCCTACGACTCCGCCGACGCGTCGTTCGCGCGCTTCGCGGCGTCGCCCTTCGCGGGCCGCGCGGGCCAGCGGCGGCTCCGCGTCGGCCGCGTGTCCGTGGACGTGATCGCGGCCGCGGAGCTCGCCGTCGCCGACAGTTTCAGCGGATCGTCGGACCCCTACGCCGTGCTCGAGATCACGGGCTACGGCCTCTCGAAGCGGCGCCGCGAGTGGCCCGACGACGTGCGCGAGTCGTACACGACGAAGATCGTGAAGAAGGACCTGAACCCGACGTGGGACGAGCGCTGCGTCTTCGAGTCGTGGCGCTACGGCGCCGTGCTGCGGGTCGTCGTCTACGACCACGACGACGACAGCGCCGACGACCTGCTGGGCGCGTTCGAGGTCCCCCTCGACGGCCTGGCGAACAAGCCCGCGGCGGCGCAGTGGTACACCTTCGCCGACGGCGCGCCGGGCGGCGTCAAGCTCAAGATCAAGTACGACGTCGACGCCGTCGGCGAGGCCGCGTCCGTGCTCTGGCTCGACCCGAAGCCGTCCAAGGTCGTGCCGCGCTTCCACGCGAACGCGTTCTACAACCACGCGATGGACATCGGCGCGGCCGCGGCGCCCGCGGCGGCCGCGGCGAACGGCGCCTTCGCCGCCGTCGCCTGGAAGGACCGGAAGACGTCCGCCGCCGCCTTCCTCGCGAGCCTCGCCGCGAGCCTCGTCGTCACGGACTACGGCGTGCTCTTGCACGCGCTCTTCGCCGTCTTCCTCTGCTGGACCTACACGCTCAAGCGCGCCATGGACGCCAAGGAGAAGGCGCTCGCGGCGCTCTTCGCGCAGATCGACGAGGACGGGAGCGGGTCCATCGACGCGGACGAGCTCGCCAAGGCGCTCGCGGTCTGCGCCGCGCGCAAGGGCCAGCCGCCGCCGACGGAGAAGGAGGTCGCGAAGCTCTTCAAGAAGCACGCGACGGGCAATCCCAAGGGCGTCCACATGGCCGAGTTCCGCGAGCTCGAGAAGCACCTCGGCGAGGCCGCGCTCGAGTTCGGCGACGAGCCCGCGCCGGAGGCGCCGCCGGACGCGTCGCCGGCCAAGGGCCGCGTCTCCCCCGGCTTCTCGTCCCTCGGCAAGCTCGTCAAGGCGCCGTCGGTGAAGAAGCGCGCGAAGAAGAAGAAGAAGGAGAAGGAGCCCGAGATCAGGGGCCCGCTCAAGGGCATGCTGCTGCGGACGTTCAACTCCGCGGCGAACGGCGCCGCGGGCAAGCAGCTGGGCAAGGCGCAGCTCGAGTGCGCGGGCGTCGCCCGCGACGTCAACTTCGCCAAGGGCGTGCTCCTCTGGAAGGACGCCACGATGACGGGGCCTCTCCTCGCGGCGAACGTCGCCTTCGCCGCGGCGCACTACGTCCTGCCGCCGAACCGCGTCGTGCCCCTCTACGTCTGCGGCGCGTTCTTCGGATTGACGGAGACGTGCGACGCGCTGCAGGTCGTCGCGGAGCGCGCGCCGCGGGCGTTGGGCCGCTACGTCGCGCTCCGCCGGGGCCTCGCCGCCGGCGCGCGGAAGACGGGCCGGCCCTCGACGGCCTTCTCCAAGCTCCTGGCCCGGACGGGCTCCAAGGCGTCCGGCGCCATGGCCGAGGCCCTCGAGCGCACGGTCCGCGCGATCTTCAAGCGCGTCGACGTCGACGGCTCCGAGAGCCTCTCGAAGGCGGAGCTCCGGGCCTTCGTCGAGGCCGCGGCGGCGGACTCCGGCGCCGACGCCGCGCACGCGCTCGCGGACCTCGACGCGGCCATCGCCAAGGTCGACCTCTGCGACGGCGAGGTCGACGTCGCGGCGTTCACGACCATCGTCTTGGACTCGAACATCGCCGAGCTCCTCCTCGCGTCCGAGCTCCGCGCGCAGGTCCTGAGCCCCGAGGGCGTCGAGTGCGTCAAGCGGCCGTCGGCGGGGTCGAGCACCCTCGGTCTCTCGCTGAGCTCGCACGCCTGCGCCGTCGCCGTCCGCGGCGACTGCTTCGCCTACGCCAAGCGGTCGGGCCACTGGGCGGAGTTCCCGCTAAGCACGGTCGCGCGCATCGCGCCGGACGCGCAGGAGCCGCGCGCGATGGTCGTCGCCTGCGGCGACAAGGTCCTCGCCTTCAACCTCGCGAACGCCTTCGTCGCCGCGACGCTCGTCGCCGTGCTCAACGACGCGCGCGACGCCGTCGGCGTCGTCGCGCGCGTCGTCGCGGAGCCCAAGGAGACGCCGAAGAAGCCGCCGAAATCCTCGAGCTCCGTCGACATCTTCTGCGGCGCCATGGACGCGAGCCAGGCGAGCAGCAGCAGCGGCAGCGTCCGGTCGTCGCCCCAGGCGACGCGCGGCGGGTCTCTACGCCTGTAGCTAGGCGCGAGGGCACCCGAAGCAAGCTAGTCTTCGCGCCAGACGCGTAACTCGCTTGCGCGCTTAAATTATGCCTACTCGTCGCGATCCGTGCGCCAGAACGACAAGACGAGCCAGAAGATCTCGTTGGGGACGGGGCGTTGGAGTTGGCGGCTCGCGAGGCGCGCGTGCTTCGGAGTCGATGGCGGCGGGGCGACGGCAAAGAGTCGCGCAAGGATCGGCGCCCGCCTCGCGGACGGCGGCCGCGCGCGGCCCTTTGCGCAGAGCGTGCGGAGCCGCACGAGCGCGACGCGCGGTGCGTTTACGTAGCTCCGCCAGCTGCCAGCGGTCTCCACGGCTTCGAGAAGGCGGGTGGTTCGACCCGTCGGCCCGGATGACCGATAACAAAAGTCGTATGCATTGTCCCCGTGCTTCGATGTTGCGGAGATGTCGGCCCCGCTTTCTAGGAGGTACCGCATGACGTCATAGTTATCATGGCTTGCGGCAAACATGAGCGCGGTATCTCCGTCATGGTCTCGAGCGTCGATCGCGGCCCCAGCTTTCAGCAGTACATCCGCCTCCTGGGGATATTTTGTCAAGAACAGGGCGACCAAACCATATACGCCGACGCCATGGACGTCTGCACCGTGCGCGAGTAAGAGGCGAAGCATGGGGGACCTGTCCTCCCTTGAAGGATCACTTAGAGAAATGAAAAGGAGTGTGAGTCCGTTCGTAGTAAGTTCGTTTGGGTCGTTATCATCCTCCAGCCATCGCCTCACCGTGTCGATGTCACCGCCGCGCACAGCGTGCGCAATTTCGGCAGGGGGGTCCATCGCGCCCGCTTTACGGGAGCGACCCGGCGGCTCCCCCTCGCACGGCGCCGGCGAGGGCTCGCTGAGGTAATTTTTGCATGCCAGCGCAGTCCTCAGACAGCTCCTCTACTAGCCTTCTACTACGCCTTCTACTTAACACTCCTCGCGAGCGCCACCATGGCGTCGCGCGCCACGGATGCGCAGGACGCCTCGACACGGTCGCGCGCGAGCGTCCGGCTCAGTTCGCCCGCGGCCGGATCGGCGGCGGCGACGAGGCGCGCGGACGCGGCCGCGGCCGCCGGCGTCGCGAAGACGGCGCTCGCCGTGCGCCGCTTGCGCCGCTTCTCCTTGAGCCCGCCGAGCCCGAACGCCGAAAAGTAGTCCTCGCGCTCCGACGCCGGCGCCTGCTTGAGGTGGCCGTAGATCGCCTTGCGCTGGGATTTCGCCGCGGCGGCGGGCGGCGGCGGCGGCGCGGCGGCCCGCCGCCGCGCGAGCGCCGCGTCAACGTTCTTGCCCATCGCGCCCCCGAGGCCGCCGCGCGGCGCCGACGAGGGCCGCCCGCCGGGGTAGCACGCCAGCTCATCCAGCATCATCGCGACCGCGAGGCCCGACGTTCGCCGCGTCGCCGCGTGGACGGCCGCGCGGCGCGAAAAGGCGGCGCCGTGGGCGTCCCAGGCGCCGAGGAGCGCCGCGTCGCAGGTGCCGTGGAGGTCCCCCAAGGCCGCGAGGAACGCCTTCCGCGCGAGGTAGCCCCGCGCGAGCGTCGCGACGGCCGTCGCGGCCGCGCGGCGCCGCCGGATCGCGCGGCGCGCGCCGCCGACGCGCGCGCGCGCCTGGCAGGCGACGACGACCCGCGCGATCTTGTCCTCGGCGACCGTCGAGGCGCGGCGCGACGTTCGCGCGCGCGGCGCGCCGCCGCCGAGGAAGACGCGGAGCGCGTCGCGGACGTCCTCTCGCAGCCGGCGCTCGTCCTCGCGCTCCTTCGCGACGAGGGTCCGCGGCGTGCGCAGGCGCGGCGGGTAGAGGTCGTCGCGCGGGAGCTCGTCGGGCCGCGGCGGGAACGCGCCGTTTCGGAGCCCCTCGCGCGACGGCGGCGGCGCGATGAACGTCTCGGTGGCCGCGAAGGTCGCGTCGAGGAACGGCGTCTCCTTGGCGGTCACGGTCAGCGTCTTCCGGTTCGCCTTGGCCCGGATCGACTCGTCGAAGAAGCGCACGGCGCAGACCGCCGGAGTCTCGTGCGCGTCCCCGGCCCAGTCTTCGGTGACCGCCTCGGCCTCGCTCAAGAAGCCGGAGAAGAGCTGGGTCCGCAGCAGTTTCGTGAAAAAGGGCCGCGAGGCCGCGTCCTTGGACTGGACCAACTTGTCCTCGCCGTCCCGGTAGGCCGCCAGCGTCGACACGAGGAACCGCGAGAAGCACGCGCGGCGCTCGAGCGCGAAGCCGTCGTTCGCCGCGAGGGGGCCGCCGTTGCCGCCGCGCTGGATGACGCCCTCCCAGTCCTCGACGGGGTCGTCCAGGCTCCGCGGGGACCCGAAGCGGCGCACGTTCTTGAGCATCTGCGAGTCCTTGGGCGCGAGGCCCGCGACCCAGGCCGACCGGTCCGCGTCGACCTGCGCGAGCTGCTTGAGGAGCTTCGCCCGGTAGTGCGCCGGCAGCTTCGGCGGGAGCTCGAGGTCGTCGAACCCCTCGTCCGGGTAGCGCGCCTCGCCGCGGTCCAAATCCACGAAGACGACGCCCGGCGGGATCCGCGCGCCGACCTCCGTCGACGCCAGGTAGTTGGCGTCGAAGCCGCCGATCAGAAAGGGCACCGGCGCGTCGACGAGCTCGACGAGGAGGTGCTCGGGGCAGACGGGCACGACGACGCCGCGCCAGTCGAAGGGGAAGAGGAGGCTCAACAGCGCCGCGGCGGCCCGCGAGAAGGTCTCCGGCCGGCTCGACACGAGCGCGACGCGCGCCTCGACGAGCAGACAGGCGACGACGTCGACGACGACCGCCGCCGGCAGCGCCGCGAAGAGCGCGTCGACGTTGCAGGCGCTGCACAACGGCAGCTCGTTCGGCGCGGGCCGCGCGAGCAGGATGCCCTCGTCGCCGACGGCGGCGGAGACGCGGCACAGGCCCCGCGGCGGCGCGGGCGTCTCGCGGACGTACCTAGGGATGCTCGGGGTGCCGGCCGAGCGCGCGCGGACGCGACGCCGCGGACGCGCGTCGCGACGAAGCGCTCCGCGGGCAGCGGCGCCGCGCTCCGCGCCACGCGCACGAGCTGCGCGAGGAAGAGGCGGTGCTGCGCGACGAGCGCGTAGCGGCTTACGACGACGTAGGCCCGCGGCGCCCAGCGCTCCGCCGCGAGTTTGACGCCCACGACGAGCGCGCAGGCCACGAGGCGCCGGCCGTCGCTCTCCGTGAGCAGGAACTCGAAGCTCAGCGGCTCCGGCGCCTCGCGCGTCACGACGCAGGGGCCCTGCTTCGGGAAGCAGAACGCGACGAGCGTCTCCACGGCGAAGGCCGGAGTTTTAGGGTAGCAGTGGAGCACGACGGGATGGAGGCTCCAGCCGGGCGCCAAGAGGTCCTCGCTCGGTCCGATGCAGCAAAAGAACTCGACGAGGTCCGCGCCCGAGGCCATGTCGCTGGGTTAAGGCGCGTCGAGCAGCATCACACGCGCGAAGGCGACTGGCCGGGGCTGCCCATGCCTTTCTGGGGTAACCATCAGCAGCCTACGCTGCACTGATCGTAGCTAGAGGAATAATACCAGGAATCATACGAGCGCTCGCAGCCACCGATTCTCAATACGAAGATATTATATCGTAGCTAGAGGAATAATACCAGGAATCATACGAGCGCTCGCAGCCACCGATTCTCAATACGAAGATACGAAAGGAACCACGAGCTTGGACATGGCAGAAGTTTTCAACCTCCCTCGCTTGAGGTCAAGACATGATCGAGGTTTTCAAGCTAGCGTCCGTTGCCGCTTCCGGTGTGCTCGACTGGCAACAGCGTGCACTGTTACAAGCTCCTCTCGACCGCCGCCCTTCGTCCCCGCTCGCGCAGCGCCATGGGTCGCATCAAACCCTGGCAGCACTACAACTGGCACGACGACCCGAAAGACCCCCTCTCGCACTGGCCCGTCTTCTCGCTCGTGCCCGACGAGGACGGCGCCGACGGCGAGACTCGCGTCCGCTTTGAGAACGGCAAGACGAAGTGCGTCCCCGTCAGCGAGCTCGTCCGGGCGTACCAGTTCCCCGACCCGGGGCGGGAGCTCTGGCAGGAGCGCCGCGGCGACTACCGCCTGGTCACCGCGACCGGCGAGCGCGACGGTCTGCTCGTCGAGGTCGAGGTCGGCGGCGACGTCAACGCGCAGGTCCACGTCGACGACCTCACGCCCAAGGTGCGCGACTTCACGCTCACACGCCCCGATTTCTACAACGAGTGCGACACACATCGTGACGGTAATCCGACACTCGTGCCCGCCGCGAGCCACCCGGACATCGTCTACGACAACCAGTTCCGCGGCAAGGTCGTCCATTCGTCCAAGACGAAGAACAAGGAGCTACAAGCGGCGCGAGCACACAAGTCGACGCTCACTTTTCTGGGCGAGGAGCTCTACGAGTCCATGGGCTTTCGTGAAGCAAAGCGGCTTCGGTACGAGCGGGAACGCGAGTACGCGCCGCAGTGCAGCGCCTGCGGCGCGGACGTCGCAACCTGGCTCTGCCGGTGCGGGGGGGCCGGGACGGCTCACGCGCTGACGGGCAATCTCGTGCGCTCGGCCGTGCGGCGGGTCCGCGACCTCGACATCGGCGACCTTCCTTCCTTCCAGTGCGAGCTCCTGACGGGCATCACGACTCCCGCACTGCTCAACAAGATCCTGGCCGCGGCGACGGGCATGCCCGACGACGAGCTCGCCGCGGCGCTGGCCGAGACGCACCGCCCGGCGTTCGCCGGCGGCTCCGAGCGGCGGCTGGTCGAGACGGACCACATCTTCGCCGTCGCCCGGCGCCTCCCGGGCCAGCGCAAGCCGTGCCTCGACCGCCTTCCCTCCTTCTTCACGCTCGACGACAAGCCCGACTGGGACGAGGACGGCCGGCCGAACGCCGCGCTCCGGCGCCTGTCTCGCATCGAGCTCCTGCAGTACATGTTCCACGCGGACAACAAGTTCAAGGGCGCCAAGGTCACGCAGGAGATAGTCGACGACGCGCGCGACTTCGAGGGCTGCTTCTACAGCATCGCGGAGCTCAAGAAGCCGGACCCGCTCGATCGAAAGTACCTCCGCGAGGCGGAGATCCTGCGCCGCGTGACCGCGTGGGGGAAGCGGCGCTACGGCATCTTCGGCCGCTGGTACCCCATCGGCGGCCGCGCCGACCCGTAGTCCTAAGTTATTACCGCTCGTGAACGCGTGAGATTTGACAACCACCGGTGCCACCGCCGCGGCGGCCCCATCGAGCACTGGCATGCCACGGTTCACTTCCACTCCGTCACGAATCCTTGCGATTGAATCCTTGCCAAATTCGAGCACGGTCAGGCTGCGATGGTCTACGGGGCATTGCCGCCGACGGCGATGCCGCCGGCGCAGCCCGCCGCGCCGCAGCCGGCCGCGCCGCGACCCGCCGCGCCGCGACGACCGCGGCAACGCAGCCCCTGGTACCTGGGCCTCGGCGCCCTCTGCCTCGCGGGCCTCAGCGTCGCGAGGCGCCAGCAGGCGCCGCCGCTCGTCGAGTCGCTCGAGGGCGGCGCCGGCGCCGGCGCGCCGCTGGACTGGATCGTGTACAACAAGTACACGCTCATGACGCCCATCCCGAGCGTCTACCCCTGGAAGCGCATCGCGGAGCCGCACCGGGACCACCGCCTCGTCGTGCTCGGCGCGGACGAGGACCGCTACGCCTACACGTGGCGCGTCGAGCGCACCAACACCTACCGGGACGTCAACGGCGCCAACGTCAGCCACGTCTTCGACGCCGTGGGCATCTGGCGCGCGCGCGTGACCGAGGCGCCGCGGTCGGGCTCGGCGTCGTCGGTCGTGTCCGCGGGCGAGATCATGGTCAAGTACGTGCGGCGCGAGATCCGCTCGCTCGACGACGAGGACCGCGAGGCCTTCTTCGGCGCTTTGCGCGTCGTCTACACCGTGCCGACGCGCGACGGCCAGCAGCAGTTCGGGAGCGACTACAGCGACATCGCCTTCTTCAGCCGCATGCACCTCCTCGGCGCCGCGGACCGGTCCTGCGACCACTGGCACGACGACGCGGGCCTGATGACGCACCACATGAGCTTTACGCTGCTGCTGGAGCGGTCGCTCCAGGCCGTGAACCCGGCGGTCTCGGTGCCGTACTGGGACTACTCGCGCGACGCGTACGAGTACGGGCCGAACTGGCGCGAGTCCGTCGTCTTCAACGAGTCCTGGTTCGGCGGCACCAAATCGCAGAACGCGTCGCTCAACGTCATCGACGCGGGCGCCTGGGCCTGGACGGGCGTCCTCGCGGACGCGCGCGACTTCTCGAACATCACGAACCCCTACGGCATCCTCCGGAGCCCCTGGAACGCGAACCCGCACCCCTACGTGACGCGCGCGGACAACGTCTTCGGGTACCAGGCCGCGGGCTACACGACGTTCCCGGGCTGCAACGAGATGCACGCGTGCTTCAAGCACGACCGGCTCAGCGACATGAACGAGTGCCTCAACGGCTACACGCACGGGCCCGTGCACATCATGCTCGGGGGCCAGTGGAACGTGGGCGCCGAGGCGTCGGCGACGATCAACGACTACCACAGCAACCGGCTGCAGTTGCTGCTGTTCAAGGTGCTCTGGCGCATGGGCTACGCGGACTGCCCGACGGACTGCTCCTCCGACGCGCAGGCGGACTGCCGCTGTTCTTGTTCCAAGGACAAGCGGGGCGACCTCGATTTGACGGAGATCATGGCGAACGTCACGGGCGTCTTCCACTGGGTCGACGCGGTGAGCGACCGCATCTTCTACGAGAACGCGTCGTGGCACATCCGCGACGAGGGCGGCGGCGCGTCGCCCAAGGCCATGGAGGACCTGTTCGACACGTTCTGCGACCCGGGCTGGGTCGGCGAGCTCTACACGTCGAACGCGCCCGCGGACCCCATCTTCTGGCCCATCCACACGACGGCCGACCGGCTCTTGTCGTGGAAGCGGATCCTGGCCCACAAGGGCAAGACCCTCTTCAACCAGACCTGGGGCTACGCGCACCCGTCGGCGACGCCGTCGGACACGGGCAAGGTCTGCGACTGGCTCGCCAAGGACGAGGCCATGGACCTGCCCGAGTGCCGCGTGGAGACGTGCGAGGGCCACAACGCGGAGGACCTCCTGCCGGGCATGCCCGAGTACACGAACGCCGAGTTCTACGACTTCATGGACCCCTACAACGACGACCTGCCCTACCTGTACGAGAATTTCGACTGGGACCACTGCGACAAGCTGAACTTCACGTTCTCCGCCGCGGACTACCCGACGTCGTTCCGCGAGCACGAGGCCGGCGGCGAGGTGTCGGGGAAGCCACACTAACACTTCTTAAACTGGAAGCGCGGCGGGGAAGCAACGCTAACACAAGTACACTTGTTTAAAGTGGAAGCGGCATGGCGGCTAGCGACAGTGCCGGCGGTCATGCGGGAGGTTTCGTCACTGACATCAATTTTGAGCCGACACGCACCAGTTGTGCGCCAGACGCTAAGTATGCGTTCACACACCTGAGCGGTTCCCTGGATTGCTCAAAGCCTCTCGCAAGCGCACGTGTGAAGAAGCTTTTGGCTTTCTCGAGGTCGATTTTGGACACTCCGTATTCTGCTTGAAAATGTGCGAGTCCAAGAGCGTGCAAAGCCTCAGCATAACCTTTCTCGGCAGAGCGGGATAAAAACAGAAGGAGTTCTTCGCCCCCAATAGCTTGCTGTTTGAAAGCCGAAGTTGCAAAATTGTACTCCGCCGTCGCGTCTCCCCGATCTGCGGCCATGCGAGACAGCTGCAGCCCCTTTTTTTTGTCCATTTTGACTCCTTCTCCGCGTTGGTACATGATGGCAAGATTCACCATCGCACGCACGCTTCCAAGCGATACGGCGCGCTTGTAGAGTTTCGCCGCCTTCTTCATAGATTTCACGAGGTCGAGAGCACCCGCGCGGTACTGAGTCGCCAAATGCTCGACCGCTTCCGGCACGTCATTCTCCGCGTGTTGGCGAACCCTTGCAAGAATCTCTGCCTTACTTTTCGCGCAGGGTGAACGACAGAGAGGGCATGACGCGCCTTGAACCTTGTCTGCGCACGAGTCGCAGATCTTCCGCGCACAGCAGGAACGAAACGCGCCCGGATCATTCACGTCCCAGTCCTCGAAGCAGACCGGGCACCGCGAGCCCCACCGCACCGACGCCGGCTCCGGCTCCGGGTTCTCCTCGCGTCGCACGCGGGCCGCCTCGTGCTCCGCGGCGATGCGCGCGCGGACCTCATCGGCGTGCGACCGCGGCGCGGGGCCGTAGACGACCTCCTCCGGCGGGGGCGTCGGCGCCTCCGCCCGCGCCGCCTCCGCCGCCCGCTCGTTTCGGATCTTCTTGCACGCCTTCCGGTGGCCGCGGTCGCGCCAATCGATGCGTTGACAGTCCGTCGAGCAGTATTGCGTCGTGCCGCACGGGCAGTTCAGCAACATCTTCGGTGTGGCACCACAAATGGTGCATGTCAGGCGGAGTTTCAGCGCTTTCGCCCGGGCCTTCTTGATCTCGTACTCCTTCTGCTTTTTCTGCCACTCCATCGTTCAAAAACCAGCCCCAGCTAACCCAGGCCAGCGCCCGGCGCACGCCTCCGGGGCCTACGCCTCCAGAAGCCTTCCAGACTCGCGACTCGGACATAACACTACCCTTACGTACTCGAGAATCGCAGGCTCCGCCGCGCGGGCGGGCAGACGACCTCGTCGTCGTTTCGCCCGGCCTCCTCGATGACCGCGCGGATCGACGCCATGGCCTCCCGCGTCTCCGCGAGCTCCTTGAGGAGCTCCGCGAGCTCGAGCTCCGACTCGGCGAGGCGCCGGAGCTGCGCGTCGAGGAGGTCCCGCTGGCCCTTGAGCGACGCGCGGGCGCGGCCGCTGGCCCCGCGGGAAGTCGCGCCGAAGCCCGCGCCGACGCCGATGGAGCCCGTCGCGGCGGCGGGCGGCGCCCCCGAGTCGACGGCGGGCGACGCCGCCGCGGAGCTCCGCGCGTCGGCGGCGGGCGACGCTCCCGCGGGGCTCCGCGCGTCGGCGGCGCCGACGCGGCCGCGCGAGACCTCCCAGTCGCGCGCGCCGTCCCGGGCGAGGCGCCGGAGCGACGACGGCGGCGACGCGCGCGGCGCGCGCGGGTTCGTCACCTCCTCGAGGTCGAAGATGGAGCCGCCGCGCCGCTGCGGCGGCGACCTCGGCGCCTCGAGGGGGATCGCCTCCCAGGCGTCGTCGTCGTCGTCGTCGTCGTCGAGGAGCACCGGCGGCATCTCCGGCGCCGCGGCGCGCGCGCGCTCCGCCTCGGCGGCCCGCGCCTCGGCCTCGGCTTTCGCCCGCGCGTCGGCCTCGGCTTTCGCCCGCGCGTCGGCCTCGGCTTTCGCCCGCGCGTCGGCCTCGGCTTTCGCCCGCGCCTCGGCCTCGACGCGCGCCAGCGTCTCCGCCTCGACCCTGGCGCGCGCCTCGGCCTCGACGGCCTCGACCCTCGCGCGCGCCTCGGCCTCGATGCTCGCGCGCGTCTCCGCCTCGACCCTCGCGCGCGCCTCGGCCTCGATGGCCGCGATGCGCGCGCGCGCCTCGGCTTCGACCCTCGCGGGGTCCACGGGTGCGTGGAGCGGCATGCGCAAGGGCAGGAGCGGCGGATCCTCGCCGTCGCTCTCGGCCGCGTCCGCCGCCGCCGCCTCGCGGGCCCCGGCATCGTCCTCGAGGCCGCTGAGCGCGGAGCGGCCGTCGCTCTCCGTCCACCCCTCGCCGTCGGCGTCGTAGACGCGCCCGGCGGCCTCGGGCTCGGGCTCCGGCGCGGGGATGCTCGCGGTGTGGAAGCTCGCGAGGCCCGGCAGGCGGCGGCCCTTGGACGGGCTCGGCGGCTGCCGCGGCGGCGGCGGCGGCTTCGCCTTTGGGGGCGCGGCGACGCGCGGCGGCGGCGGCGGCGGGCGCCAGCTCGGGTCGCGCGCCGGCGCCGGCGCCGGCGCGGCCGGCGGCGGCGAGGGCGGCGGCGGCGCGGCCCGGGCGTCGCGGAGCGCGAGGACCGCGGTCTTGATGACTTCGAGGTCTCCGCGGAGCTCGCGGACGGCGTCGGCCGCCGCGGGCGAGGTGGGCGCCGCGGGCGACGGCGGCGCCGCGTCCGAGTCGGGCGTCGGCGGCGGCGGCGGGTCCGCGGCGGCCTCGAGGCGCTGGAGCACCGTCGGGTCGAGGAGCGCGTCGGGCCGCGCGCGCGGCGCCGCGCGGCGCGCGAGCGCGTCGAGGCACCTCAGGACGCCCCTGTTCGCGCGCTTCGTCGCCTTGGCCGAGCCGGGCGCGTCGTCGGGGTTGAGCCAGCGCGACTCGATGTACTCGTGGACGCACTTGTCCGTCGCAGTGTCGACGTCCGCGGCGCGCGCGGCCGCGTCGTCGCCCGCGCCGGCGCCGGCGACGACGAGGTCGAGGGCCGGCGGCGGCAGGGGGACGAGGTCCAAGCCCGGCGGCGGCGCCGGCGCGGCGGCGGCGACGAGCGCGGCGGCGGGCCGCGGCGACATCGCGGCGGACGTCGGCGACAGCGACGCGGACGCGGACTCCCACTCGGACGCGGACCGCTCGGAGACGTTCGCGGCCTCGACGAGCTTGTCCCACGCGGAGCCGCCGGCGTCGGCGCCGCGCGGCGGCGACGCGGCCGGCTTCGCCCGGGCGCTACGGCTCGCGGCGCGGGGCGGCGGCGACGCGGCCTTGCGCGGCGGCGGCGGCGACGCGGCGACGAGCACGGGCGCCGGGCGGGGGACGAGCGCCGACGAGAGGCTCGTGTGGCCGTTGAGGTCGCGGAGGGACACGGCGGCGCGCGGCATCGCCGGCGACGGCGGCGCGGCGATCGGCGGGACCCCGCTCGTCGCGGCCGAAGCGCCGGCGATCCCGGCCGAGAGCCTGCTCGCCAGCCCGCCGGCGGCCGCGCGGGATGCCCCGCCGGACGACGCGCCACCGCGCCCATTCGGCGGCGGGGCCAGCACGACGGTGCGGCCGCCGGCGGAGGGCAGCACGGCGACGCCGCCCGCGACCGGCGGCGCCGCGGCCGGCTCCGCGGCGTCCGCGGGCGGCGCGAGGGCCGAGAGCACCGTCGACGGCGAATCGCCGCGGAGCCCGGGCACGGCGCTTTCGAGGTCCGCCGGCGACAGGGGGCTCGGCTCGGCGCCGCGGCAGCTGACGAGCGGCGGCGGCGACGACGGCGCGGCGCCGAGGGGCTCGGCGCGCGCGGCCGCGGACGACGCCCGCAGCGTCGGGGCCTCGTACTGGAAGAGCGCGTCCTTGGGCGTCGGCGGCGGCGCCGGCGGCGGCTCGTGGACCTCGCCGAAGAAGTCGCGCGGCGGCTCGTCGCCGTCGAGGACCTCGACGTAGACGTCGTCCATCCGTTCCTGCGGCGGGAAGACGTGGCGCGCGGGCGACCGCAGGGGCAGCGGCGACTCCGTGCGGCTCATGGGCGGCGACGGGATCACGGACGTGCGCGTCGGCGCCGCGCCGTTCTCTCCGTGCTCGGCGACGGCGCGGCCGTCCGCGCGGCCGTCGGCGTCGGCGCGGCCGTTCGCGGCCCCGGCGTCGTGGCCGTTGGCCTCCCCGGCGCCGTCCCCGGCGGCGTTGTCGTCGTCGGCGCCCTCCGAGGCGGCCTCCTCGTCGCGGGCCCGGGCCCGCGCGGCGTGCGTGGACTTGCGGCGCCGGCTCGCCGTCGCGCGGTCCGCGC